TACTGATCTGAAAATGAAAATTTTCAAGAACCATTGTTTGCTGAATTAAGATCATGGTGAACGCTCTTCAGCCACTTACCTTCTCAAATCATCCATCACGTCACGCTTGCCTGGGAACCTGAAATTTATCGTTTACAAGAGTAAAATCAAGACTGAAAATGAGAAGTTTCATTAAATAAACAAAGACTCACCTTCTCAAGTCATCCAGCACATCACGTTTACCGGGGAATCTCCTCAGGTCATCCAGCACATCACGTTTACCGGGGAATCTCCTCAAGTCATCCAGCACATCACGTTTACCGGGGAATCTCCTCAGGTCATCCAGCACATCACGTTTACCGGGGAATCTCCTCAAGTCATCCAGCACATCACGTTTACCGGGGAATCTTCTCAGGTCATCCAGCATATCACGTTTACCCGGGGAATCTCCTCAGGTCATCCAGCACATCACGTTTACCGGGGAATCTTCTCAAGTCATCCAGCACATCACGTTTACCGGGGAATCTATAAATTTCTGTTTTACAAGTGTTCTTTATTGAGTAATTGGTAAAGACTTGCCTTCTCAAATCGTCCATTACATCACGTTTTCCAGGGAATCTGAAAATTTATCATTTACAAGAGTACAATCAAAGTTGAGAATTTGGAAACATTTCTTTGAAGGACCGGTCTCTACTAGCCTTCTCAAGACATCCATCACATCCCGTTTTCCGGGGAATCTTCTCAAATCATCCATAACGTCACGTTTTCCAGGGAATCTGGAAATTCAGCATTTAAAAGTGTGGAATCAAAGCTTACAATTAGAAGCTTCAATCGGTAAGAGCTCACCTTCTCAAATCATCGATCACATCCCGTTTCACCTTCCCATCACCTCCCCGTCGGACTCTCGCCTCACCAGCAGAACCCAGTCTAAAAAGCTTGTCATCTTGTTTATCATATTATTATCTTTCCTATACGGTTCCCTTCCAGCTTAGCTATGAATATATATTGCTTGATCTAGTGGTACTTTTAAAAGATACCCTCCGGCCAAAGCCATCGATATGAGCAGAAGTCCGAAGAGTAGCGATTTCATCTTACCACAACTGAAATGTATACTTGCTTTTGGAATAAAGCTATGTACAGTAGCACAGTTATATATACAAAAGTACAGTAGTACAGTAAGAACAGTAATTTTAAGCTAACTAGGCTGGTTGGCTTGAACCACTTGTGAATGTAGCCCTACTGTACCAAAGTTGGCTGACTAAAGAGATAAAAAGTGAATTGGATTCAGTTTTTTTTGGTCCAGCTCTTATACTCCAGTTTTTGCCCACCTTTAACCTTGAATCGGGCATTGTGCCGACCGAAAAAACCACTCTTTTTTGATAATCCAAAGAGGAATACGAGAAAACGAACAGGCATCTTGCTGGCAAAAAGGGAACTCTAACCTTGAATTGGGGAATTTTAGATTTTAGAACTAAAAAACGAATTCCAGTACACTATCCGTTATTTATCATTTTCTCATTTTATTTGCCAAGGTCAACAACCATTAATTGAACTCTGAGAAATGTGTGCGAAAATTCTAACGGACTTCAAAATTTATCAATCGAAGTGGTAGGTACAGTAATGGATTAAAGGATATCTCCTCCGCTTTTGTGCTTCTACTTTGAGGTCCTGCTTTCACACTTTGGCTTTTGGACTGCACTGTAAAATTTAGATCTTATGAACTTGAGACTCGACAATGTTGATATTATAAAATCTTCCGCATTCTATTTAGAGATGATCGAAACTCAAAATTGTGCCATTAAGCTTAACTTCCATTAAGCCCTTGTTTCTTTAAAGCTTTGAAGCATTCATGTGCGAAGAAACTACTGGCAACAGTGGGATTGAATTCAAGTAAAACATGGCATTTCTGTAAGTGAACTCCGAGAAACAGCATAGACTGGTGAGGAAAAATCAAGCCCATCCAAAGCCAAGAGTAGAATCTGGCTTTTAACTGGCTTTTCAATGTTCGACTCTGACTAATTCTCACCTGAACAGTTCTGTTTTTGACCTGGATTACAGACGCTAGCTCGATGGAAAATTCCTAATTCCGTATCATTACAGTATGCTGAAAATAGAGTGTTTGGGTGTCTTTTAAAATACTTTACTCAAAGAGTAAAATGACTTGTCTTGTCGAATATCGAATGTTCTCCATTTTGGGATACTGCAAGTAGACAAGAGACTGAACTTTACAATATCTCCAAGTCATAGGACTCATTCAAAGAACTGTAAAGTTCAGAGAAGAGTTGAGAACTCGTTGTGACGTTGGGTTTTTCACAAATCTATTTTTAGGAGCAGTGCTAAATACAGCTCTGAGAGCAGTTGGCTATTATTTTCGGCTAAAAAACTTTGAAACTAAACTTAGTTTTTGATCGACTCTTTATCCGAGATCGTTCCCTGAAATAAAAGGAGAAAAAAAAATATGATCTCTCAAGTGAAAAAAGAGCTCTTTGGCACCTCAAAAATGAGAAAAAGAACGGATTCCCGAACCAAAGTACTCTTTTTTACCATTTAGCCAGTACATTATTATCATCTCTTTTTCTACCAAGGTCAATGACCAGAAACGAGCACCAAATACCGGTGTACATGAGTTTGAGCGTAGTCAAGTATTGGGCTTTCAGAGATGAAGTGATCGCTACTATTAACAAGTTTTCAGTGATGCAACAAAAGGCAACATTTCTAAATAAATTATGAAAAAGCTTTATCTTCCAGAAGTCCAAAAGTTGAGCAAAATATGCAAAAATCAGGATGAGATCAGTCGAATAATACAGTAGATTGGCTGAACATTAAAACAATGAAATTGACCTTAAACTTATACCTTTTCAAAGGTTTTGCCTTTCTTAATAAATTTGAGGAAGATGAGTTCACCGAGGCTATTCATTTCAGATGCAGATGGCATTCTTGCATGTCTAGGAAATGAAGATGCTTTTCGGGCGTCAGGTTTTCATGGACTGGACTATATTGAAACTTACGATCGGCGATGAGCTACATCGACATGTATTCTAATGCTACCAGGCTAGGTCTTATCCTACAGTATTGTAAAATTCACATTTAAGTTTTCAAAGCATTTTATCAAACTCACCTTTCGTTTACTTCCATTAAGCTCTGGTTTCTTTAAAGCTTTGAAGCATCGTTCATGTGCGAAGAAAGTGGCAACAGTGAGATTGAATTCAAGTAAAACCTTGCACTTCTGTAAGTGAACTCCGAGAAACAGCATACAACGTGCGCCAAAATTGTCGCAACAAGGTATCATGCTTTATTGAAATTGGCTTATTGAAATGCCGGAGATCACTAAAGGAGGAAACCCCCAAACCACCATCAATGGAGCTATACTTGGAATGGATTGTTGAGGCGTGGGAGAAGCTTTCAGATGCGATGATTGCAGATTCGTTCAAGCGATGCGGAATCACTACAGCAATCGATGGATCGGAAGACTAGCGCACTCCTTGTTTCAAAACGAGTGGACCTATCCCGATCGGATATCAAAAGCTGAAGGATGCTCGAATGGATTAAGAAGTTTTGGTTCTTCTTGAAGGACTAGATACCAAAAATTATAAATGCAACATTGATTTTGATGCACCATTAGAGTTTATTGATTAGGTAGATACTTTATCATGTTTTTTTTTTATTTTTGTTTGTTGTTTTTGTTAGAGTTTAAATAAAATTAAAGTTCTTTTATTGATCGAAATGTATTTTTTGGTGATCCAAAGAGGTTCATTTGGTTTACTTTAGTAGATGGTTTCGAATATTAGACCAGCACCCTTTATTACCCTCCAATAAAGCGGCATTCAAAAGGGGTATCGAAAAATAGAGCGGCAGGTCGGTCTAATAGCGGATTTCATAAAAATAATTTTTTCGTGTCATCTTCTCGGCACTGAGTGTTTTAACATCTAACTAACTTCTGAAAAGTTAAAGCATTAGATAAAATTCGCCTTAATCACAAATTTTCTCTATTTTAGTTACTTGATTTTAGGTTTTTAATGAGACCCATTGCCTATCCATTAACCTATTAAAAACTTGTCTAAAGGTTGATCACTCAAAAAGTGACCAAGTCACTTCAGCTGAAGGAATCTCTTGTTTTTTTATCTGAAGCCCACTGTGATTTTTTTGTTAAAAACTTATTGAAATATAGTCAAGTTTATCAAAAAATCTGAGAAGAATTGATGGTTTGGTTTTTGAGAAATCACTGTGCAAACTTTTTCCGAGAACTTTCTTTCCAACCTAATAACTCCTGCCGGAATAACGTTAAGCAAAAACGGAAAGCAGATTCGGAATCAGCGTAAAATCCTGCTTAGAATGGTACAGATTGAATGTCATTTAGCCGCCAGTTGAAAGTATAAGCCTTGAAAGTATAAGCTTCCCCAAATATTGCGCGTGGGTAAAACATAAACCGATTCAATTTTCAACACAAAATTTTAAAAACATGCTATTAAAATTTGATGAGAAACCTTGATTTTTCCGATCAAATTTGTTCGATACTCTTCGATAGACGTTTTCCATAAAACACAATAAAAAGCCAACAAATTGCATGAAATCGAAATTAGCGAAAGAAAATAGAGATAACTCAGATAGAAGATCGGATACTCGTACATCAGAATTCTTCAGGGAATTCTTCGGGAAAACGGATGAGCTATTTCAATTTTGCAAATCTTTGTGAAAAGTTTAATTGCGCTTTTTTTTCTGTTACAACGTTTCCTTCCTTTTGATAATTGTAATTTTGCATGACACTTGCTTTCCGACCTGAAAATTGGCAGTTTTATGAGACGAACGCTTTTGTTTTGCTAAATTCAAAGAAAACTGTCGTTTAGTTTTCTTCGTGTGTGTAGTCTACATATTAAAAAATGACGAAAGCATGATTACCTAAAAAATTAAATAAAACTACATTTCCTAGCTTTTCATTTTTGAAAATCTAGGTAAAACAGAGTTTAGACAACAGATTTAAACAGATTTGACAGCAATTTTCAAGAATTTTTATTTTTCATTCAACATTTGATCGCTCGAAGTGTCTCGGGGAAATCGCTTGGATACTGAAATTGTGAAAAAAATTGAAAGACATTTTCTTATTAAAATGATAGGAAAAACAACTGTATTTCGTTTTTTCTGTAATCTTTATAAAACTAATTATGAATTAAATTGAATTGCTAAAAGCTAAAACTGAAACTAAACCAATAATGAAAGAGAGTTTTATTCAAAGTTTTGAATTATCTAAACGCATACAATTAGGTATTTATCTAGCTTACAAAACTTGCAGATTTACTAAACATTTACTCAGCTTTCAGATTTAATTCAAAAACTTGAGAAATTTCACCCACCGCCTCCCAGCGATAGTTTTTCGGGTAGTAATCAGAGGGAGCAACCTGAAAATGATTTTCCTTTGAACAATTTGGTACTTGTGACTCTTACGCCTACCAATTTACTTAATAAAATTTGCATAAAAACAAACAAATTCTCTCAGAAGATAAAGAAAGAACATTTCTTATTTTTACTTTTTAGTTTACTTTTAGTTTCAGTTTAGTTTTTAGTCTTTTATCCGTTAAAAATCATTTTGAATGTCATCCTATCTAGTTTCAAAGAAGCTTTTGAGTTTACTTTTTAGTCTTTTATTTGAAGCTTTTGTTACTTTTTTATTTAGCAAATGTGAACGTCTTTGTATGCTAATGATAGGCAGCTATGCAAATGGATAGTCAAAGATAATTGGTGGGCGTTTGAGTCAAAAGTACTGAAAATCTTTTATATTAATCTTTGCCAATAATTTTGAGACAATAATAATTTGAGCGCAAAAGGCTGAAAAATCATGAAGACAACATTACTTACTTGACTGCAAAGATCGAAGCGCAATTGTTTGTCGACGAGTCTCCCTGGAAATGAAATGTTGATCTCACAGCAATTATGGCAAACGAATAGTGTCAAAAATATCCAAATCGATTTGCTAAGTTACAGGCGTTTTTGGTCCCGGACCGGATGCCCGGGTCAGTTCATTCATCCGGTCCACTCCGGTCCTAGCACTTGTAACTTAACGCCTATCAAACCAAATTGATTTTTTTGGCATTGTTTGATTCAGTAACTCAATTTCTAAAAAACTAGCGGTAAACCAACTATTGGTGGGCCAGAAGTTATTAGGCTTGGACCGGATAAATGGACTGAACACTTCTGAAGTGATGAGATGTGCTCCGTGACAGTCATGATTTCGTGCAATTGAGCTGACCTGCAAGGAGAAACTGCTCGTCCTTGTTGGCCAGGTTAAGGTTTAATCCGCAAAGTGACTCGTAAAGTTTTGTCGAGAGAGTATTTGGGAGAGCGGTGAGATTGGAGGGACGCTGTAATGGTGTTGTGACTGGAGTGAGGAAAGGATTGAGGAATCAAATACGGTGCAGAATAGGGTGCATCCCAATTGTTTTCACCTTAAAAACCTCGATGTGCTCAACGTCAAAGACTCGATCTGACAATTGATCGAAAACAAGGAGTCGGCCTTCTTTAGATGATTGATCTGACAGAATTTTTGAGGAGCGGATTCGCACATGAGACACTAAATGAAAATGTCTTCCGTGCCTTATTAGCAGGCTTGTCGCTTTTTTTCGCAAAGACACAGTAAAGGAAAAATTTCTTTTAAAAACCGTAACCTTAGTTTTATTTTTTTCTTGATAAAAATAACTGCAAAATATTATTAAAAGCCAAGTCGATCTACAAAATGATTGGCTCTGTCTTTTTGTAGCTTCAATCGTTTTCGAGAAATCGTTTTTTTAAAAACAATTTTGCGATGCTGATTGGGGTTTATTTTGGGTGCACAGATTGGTGAAGTGACTTAACTCTAAACGAACCCCAATCAGCATCGCAAAACTGTTTCTGTGGAGGTGACCAATAACAAGAACACCCGTAAACGACCGGCAGAAATATCGTTGACAACACGAGAAAAGAAAGCATCTTGAGAAATCGAAATCGCTCAAATTCAAACAAATAGTTTATTTTCCAGTTCTTGCAATTCAATTTATATTTTGGTTATTTCCTTTTTTCTTTTGTTCCACTGTTTATGATCATTTTTTCACTAGGAAATTTGGCTAATCGTTTATCGGGAAAGTGATGAATTTTGATCGCGTATGTGGGGTTTTTGAGAAATGGCGAAAACTTGCAACTACGTGAATTTTTGTGGAAAACCCTACTTTGGATAACAACGAAAAAATTGAGAGAGTTTTGTAGCAAAAAAACATTACTAAAACAACTAAATTGTTAGTCTTTTGGTTTCTCTCGAGGGCAGCAAAAGGGGGAACAATTGAAAGGAAAACAGAAAAAAGAGAACAATTCAAACAAATAAAAACCAAAAGAAGTACTATCTAAAGGTTTTTTAAAAAATTAGCTGGGATACCACAAAAAAACCCTAGTCGGTCGACCTGTTTTTTCACAACCCTGGTCCGTCTCGATCAATCGTCAAACATGTCTAGTGCACACAATCTGTGTCTAGCTTTATGGATAAAGTTGGTAAAGTTGATGGGTAGCCTCTCTACCCAGAAGCCTCAATAGAGCCTTCAGATAGTCGAAATGAAAATGAACACTTCTTGATTTCTTAATTCTCGTTTGTGGCCTTGAGCGTTATGGTTCAGCGAATTGCGACCGGGAGCACATCATAGATATTCTAGTTTTTGTTTAGCGCAAAAACAACGATAACCATCGTTTATTTGACTATTTTTGAAAACATGTGTAACTTTGAAGCTAGGTTGCTTTAATGTTTCCGTTTTTATTCCAAAAGAGTAGAGGTAAGGTAGACACTTACCTTGCCTAACTGAACATTTTCTAGTGATTAGGTAAATTTTTCATCTTCCAAATCAATAACTTCAAAACAAACGTTGAAAAAAGCTTCGGCAATGCAAGGCAATACGTGGTAAAACTCACGTCTTGGCGGATACGACCAAATGTTGAAGGAGCTAGTATAGAATCTTTCTTAGAGAATGATTTCGAGACGTTTTCATGTTAAATTTGAATTACTGTCGCAAATTTTAAATGTTAATTTTCGCCGGACGTCGCATTCCAATTGACGTCGCCGCCATCTGAAGGTAGTCGATGGGAGCGCCGCGTCGTCGTTTCTTTTTCATTTTTAAATCATTAAGGTTTTATGGGTGCAAAAAGTTTCTTTAGATTTCGGCGCCGACTCATTCTCCCCCACCCAATAGAATGGCTCATCTGGGATCTACTATTTCTGGCAATGTGGTTGTGAACTGGGTGACAAGGAATATAATTTATACCCAACGAATACTCAATTCAATGCTTATGTGTGTTGTAAGGGGGATTCATTAGATCGGGAATTAGACGGATCCGACAACAACATCGATAACTACACTGACTACAACTGCCACTGATATTTCAACCACTGCAACAGCTATGGTAAATGTAACAAGATCGAGTACAACAACACCAACAACCACCACTATGAGTACTGCAACTACTAGAACTTGAACAACTACTATATCACCAACAAAAAGCTGTAAAGTCTAGACCTCATTGTTTATTACTGTGCTGGCTGTGATTCTGATATCAGATAACCTTTCATGACATTGTATTTCGATAAATTTAGCCTAAAAGATAAACTTTTATTTTCGAAGCAATCTAGCTAACAAAAACACAATAAAGATAAAAACTAAACGACTAATTTGTTCGATTTTAATCTCGCTTTATGAACTCGATGATATTTTTCGACAAAATTTGTGGAGATAGTTGATGAGACTGTTGGCACTGAAAAGGAATTGATTGAATATGTTGAAAGAACTAAGAATTTAGGATAAAGTCTTTGAAAAGCACGTGATTGACTTCAAAATAAAACTAAAATGTCTAATTTATTTGAAAACTGAATCACTTTTTGAAAGAGACTTAGACTATTCTACAAGTTTCACAAGTTTTCGTCAAAAGATTTGAGTCAGAATACTATACCCAAAACAAGTTGCATATGGTAATGAGTTAATTGTAATTTCTATTTTTGCAGAGGGCCAGAGATACAAAGATGTACTCAGCGTCTGAAATAGAAATTTCCCAGAAGAGAATTCACCTGGGAGTCCGTTTCACTTCGTCAACTTCCCATTGATTTCGATATGTCTCGAAATAGAGATTTTTCGCTTTCCCTTCCAAATCGATTAAAGCATTTGTTGTCTTGATTCGACTTTTCTCTCTTCTGTACACGATCCAGAAGAGCACCAACGGGGAAAAAGTGACAAAGTACATTGGGATCTGGAAGTATTAAAATACAAGAAGGCTTAGCTTTGTTTAGAGTGTGTTTTCTAAAATGCACTTATTAGCAAAATTAGTTTCCATCTAATCAGTTCGATTTTGATAGCATTCAATGAGGCTTGTAACTCCTCATCAAAAGATACCAAAATTGGGCTGCCCTAGTGTAAACTAACAGTAACAGTCTGACTAGTTTTTTTCAAATAAATGCATTTTCGAAGACGCATTACTCGAGTGGAACAAATTCTAGCCTTAATCCTGTTTGCCAGAGTGAATTACGGTATTTTTACGTACATTTTAGAAAACCGCTTCTCTTCTACAGTATGAAAAATTCACTCAAAAGCTTTTCCATAAATTTTATTCGAAAATCGTATCAAAGTTTTGTTTGAAATTCAGAACTTTGCTCGACTTAATTACAATCTATCAAAGGTGTAATAAACTAAGTATTTTCATAGTATTCCTGTAATTTCAACTTTTCCTGTGACCTTTACTCTCACTCAGGGACAAACAAGCACAAATTTCTCTATTTCTTTAAGAAAAACAAGACACAACTTACAAAAAGGAATCCCGAGCCAGCAGCAAATGAAACTTCATCAAGCCTATTAATAAATATCGTTCGATAAGTCGAGCTGAGGAGTTGATAACCGAAGAAAGAAGTCGCGTGGAGTACACTGAAAGTTGAAATATGGTTACAGCCTAATCATAGTCAGTGATTCAAAAGTCAAAGCCGTGTTACATGTAGTTTTTTTGAAAGAAATGCAAATGCAAAGACGAGCGCGTCGAGGCTTTCGAAACGTACAATTTCTCAAAATTTAGGATTTTCTTGTGAACAGGACAACTAAAGGACAACTAAACGCTTCAAGGAATTGGGAACAAACGCTGATAGAACTGGTCGAGGAAATGATCGAGGAAAACCGCGTTCTGGAGTGATTCAGTCCAACATCAAAAAAAGTGCGAGAGAGGTCGTAACGCGGAACGATCAGTCCGGCTCATGTCACCTCAAATGGAAATTGCTGGGCCTAGAAGCTAAGGCGTGTGCTAAACCACATCGAACAATTGACTCGTTCAAGAAAGCGCTCCTTAAAGCATGGCACAAGCTTGATGTTGGCTACTTGCGTGCCACAGTTGGCGCTTTCCGCCTACGTCTGAAGCGTGCGTCGCCGCTGACGAAGGAATTTTTGAAATTTGAGCTTTACACTTATTAGCATATAAATAAAGATTGTTATAAAAACTTTGTTATTTTTGGATCACTTGTTTTTCGGTTAGTATCGACTGATTTACCTGGGCCCATAAGGTCCATAATTATGCACCCTTTAATTGCTATTCTTTTTAAAGCACCTTAATTGCTACTTTTAGGATTTAACGTAATTTATTCCAAAATAGTAAATGCCTCATTTAATTTAGTCAAAAACTAACTTTTCTAAAAGCCTCTAAGACGTGTTGCATGCCAACGAAAGCGCGACTCTCAACTTTAATTCGTTTCAACAATCTCGAGAGATTCGTTTGATTTTTGCTGTACTGGACTTTTGAAAGCGATTCCGGGTAATTATGATGCACCCTATTTACAAAACTGACTCTGATCTTTAGAGTCAGCTGGTTTAGTGCATCTTAATCTTGATCCCATGGGATTTCAGTATTGTAGTACAAAAAGACCATTTCACAGATTCTCCAAACTCTTTAAAAAAACTCATACCTGTACGGAAGAAAAAGTTGCCATGTCTCCATTAATTGGCGACGAGCGAGAGTCACCGAAATGTCAAATGATCGAGTTAATCTAGAGATTTTGCTTTCGATTGTTAGCTTTGCCTTCGATTGTTGCTTCACTCACTTATTTCGTCGATGATACAATAGAAAAAGAGAGAAACCCATCAATAGAGTGAGAATTTCAAAAATTAGAGCGATCATTCCTTCACTATTCAACTTCTCAAGCAATGCTTTTGAATTGAGAATGCAATAAGCAACTTGAGAATCGACGATCTCGAAGCCGTAATATTTCCAGTATTGCTCAACCAGTATCACAATTAACTAAAGCAGTGAAGTGGTGAACTTATTTTTGGTTTAATCAGGGTCAGAACAAGGTTGAACGAAGACCAAGCTTGGTCACGCTATAACTTTGGGGTAGTTCAGAGTCAGGTCTCGTTTGGTCAAGTATAGACTAGCTAGGATTTAGCAGGACTATCGTTCTTGTCAATCAATAACTTACCGCAAAAAACATGAACGTTCGTCGAATTTTGATCTCTCTTTGAGTCGAAAAGCGATCGCTGAAATAGGAAACGACTCGGATAAGCATCAACGACAAATTGAGAGTTGGCAATGAAATTATGGAGAATGAAGTGCCAATGCGAAGATAAATGCAAAGAGTATAGGAGAAAGTCGCCTCACAAGTCGGTTGAGTGACATGTTGGAAGAGCATCATACTCTAAAATGAGTTTTCTCTGTAGTTACTTTAGCAAATTTTCTGTCTGTTTATTTATTAGGTTGATGCATAAGTCTTTTCGTTCCTTTTCGTCTGCCGTTTCAAGCCAACAAATGCACCAATTAAACTACGGTTGATTTCATTAGAAAAACCAATTATTTTTCTGCAAAATAACATTAAAACGGGTTTAAAAATATTTTATGCCTGGATTTTCTTGAGAGTATGAAGTCGGGTAGTCAAAAAGGGCTAACTCGATGATGCGGTTTAGACACCTTAGCTAAAGAAAACCTATCTTCGTGTCAATAGATAAAAGATAGAGAAAAAAAAGTTTGAAATTTCGCCAAAATTTCAGAGAAATTCATTCAGCCAATTTTCCCGTAGAGTTTTTTATAGATTTTTACGAAAAAGGCGTTTTTCACTCTCGAATTTGCTTGAAAGTGAACCGAAATTGATTTAAAAAGATGGAAATTGAACAAAAAAACACTTTTTTTATAGAGCAAACTATAGATTAATTGGTGAATTTGTTACTTTTTAACAGAAGTACGAAAAAAATGAAAAAGACTTTTGCATCAACCTAATACCTGACGTTTAAGATAATTAAAAACGTGAAACATTCTGACTTTTCAACCGAGAAGTTGACAAGAACGGGATTTTGCCTAGTGGGAATACTTGCACTTTGGACGTTCTTGCGATAGTACAAAGTATCGACTACAAAGTACTATTGCAAGAACAGTGGACAACTTCGACCGAGCCGAGAAGCCTTTTTTAACCCCTAGGCTCCGCTCTTAGATTTGCAGATTTTTCTCGAAAACCATTGCACTTTCGCAAAAACTAAAAACGCTATCGCAAAACTATCGTACTCGCCGTACTCGACTTGTGACTCAATTTCGTTCATCTCACGGTCACTTCTAATCATTCTCTTGTAAACAGCTGTCACGGTAAAAATTGTGATAGAATTTTTTAACGTGGAAGAGAACTTTCTGGATAAGTTTAAGCAAAAAACGAAAACCTTCAAAAAAAAAAACAAACGTTTTACACTCTTGATTTTAGCCTTGTGAACAACTATGAACTTCTATGGCTCAAATAGTTAAAGACTACTTGGCTACATGGCTTCATCTAGGATTCATACTACACTTATAAGTATAAACTCTTGAATCTTGTAAGTCTTTGCATCGAATAGATACAGTTTATCTACAGTTTAATGAACTCTTTTTATCAATAAAACCGACACGCTCACCTGTGAGCAAAGCATCGCAAAAGCCTGAATAAACTGAACAATATAGCAACAAAATAGATGCTCTTTAAATGTCGAATCCAAAAGAAATGATGAGAAAACCCGTTTCGACGTGACAAAAAGAGCGATCATCGCTGAGAAAGCAAACATAATCTGGCAAGAAAAGAGCACTTTCAGTGGCCCGTTCGTTGAATATTTCGAGATATTAGGACAATCCATAATATTCTTGAAAAGAATAAATTTTTATAGAACTAATGTCAAGCTTTTCCGAGAAGAGTCTCGTAATTAAAGTCACACATTTTTGTAAAGAATGTGATCTTTTTAGGTGTTCCCGGGGGTATTTCAAATTGGAGCAAAGAAATTTTCACTAAATTACCCCCATTAAAAACTGTTGTTTGAGAGCAAAAGTCGCTTTTTCTGAATCATTTCCCAGATCTCTTGCGGCTTTTGAAAATTGCAAAAGAGTACAAAAATGTTTATAACGATTTAATTAACCTCTGACTTTTTTATTGATCATGGAAAATCCGGAAAGTTTTGCTTGAAAAAGCTTTATCATTTGTTTTTTTACAAATTTTACAAATTTCCTTGCAATTTTTCAAGATCGGAACATTTCGAAGTACAAAATTGACATAAATTTTCCCCAAAAGATCTTTGTCTTGACAAGTGACAAGACAGTGTTTTCGGAGATTCCTTTCAATCCATTGCAAGCAAGTGCTGTTGAAAGCATGATTTGTATAGAATATTGTATAGAATACAAACTGTTTATACAAATGTAGCCTGAAAATGAAAAGTATTGATCATTTTCTTGCAAAATGTATATCAAATCTCTTGGATTTTCGCGATGCTCTTTTGGATTTTTGGTAATTTTGACAAAAACATAATGCTTAACGTACAAGTACAAAATTCGCGATTATTGTCCGAGCTTGAAAATTGTATAAGTATTGCTTACAGTAGTACAGTATTACCGTAGTAGTTGCTTGGTCAATGGCTACAATAAACCAACCCAAGTCAAAAGTCGTCTTTAGTTGTAACTGATTCGGTGACGTCATTCAAACCTTATTTTCTCGCGAAATTTGCCAATGATAAATCTTCAATCGGATTGAATGAATATTGCCAGATTCTTTTCAAATTTCGATTAATCGAGAATTTTTATCTAGATCTTGTAAAATATCTAACATTTAACTACATTTATCCCCTTCACAGCAATAACACCAATTCCTCAAAAGAACGTATGTCTTTTGGGAGGCCGAGTTTCGGCTGTGCCACTCGGAGAATCAGGAACTTGGTAAATGAATACATACTAACATTTTTATACAAAATCTTTTCAACTAAAGAAATTCTTACCTGCATTTACAATGTGATGGAATCACAAGAATGCATTTTCACCTAAGCTCACCTAACAAAAAAATGCAGGTTGGCTTGAAAGATGAATCTTGTTCCTAACAAGATTCCAAACCAGCTAATATTTGACAAAGAAATTCCAAATCCAATAGTGTGTTCTGAATTTCTGGAGATCCATTTTTCAGCGAAACCGCCGCTGAACAGTTCTTCAACTGCACTATTTTGAATCTTCTTTCAAAATGTGGCCAACCAAAGCCAACTGACAAAAATTTCGATCATTTTATCTATTTTTTTACTATTTTGAGAGTCTGGTGAGCTTTGTTATTGAAGAATTTTAAAGAAATTGATTTAGTTCTTGATCAATCAGCTTCAAGAAGAGATTTGCGGCGTTGACTCAGAGAATTGAAGCGGTGCGGAAAGGAGTGGAAGTGATTTTAAATCTCAATTTACTCACCAGGAGAGATTCGATCAAAATTATTGAAATTTTCGATGTTTTCTAATTAAAATTGAAAGCTTTCATTTGAATAAAGCTGTTATTTTGATAAGCTTTCAAAAACCAACAACAAATAGGTTTCAGTCTGAGTTATTCTGTTTATTTTGACAATAAAGTACTGACAGGTTCTACTTTATTCAATAAGCAAGCAATAATTTCTCTACTTTTTCCCAGGAAATCCGGGAATACTTGGTATTCCCATCAATTGTGCCACATAGGTTATTGGGTCAAAGGTCGCATTCGAGAACATGCTTCTCAAATTAACAAAGGCTTCTTGAATCTGTTGGATGTACTTTTGAGACATGCCTTGAGTAGTTGCCTAAAAAAGAAAGTCGTTGAAAATTCTTACATTTAATGCAAATTTTCAAAACTCCCACCAAAATCGCATTAGCGATGGCGGTTCCCGGTTTGGCGACTCCCATTTCAACCAACTAAAAGCACAAGATTAATATTCATCAAAAACAACTGAAATCCTGTTTTATTTTGAATTTTGTAGTACTTGAAAGCGTTTTACTTTAGTTTTTCAGCTCACCGTCGCATTAAGGGTCTTGAAAAAATCAAAGATCGCTTGATTTGGATCATTAGCTCCCTCAATGAGTAAATTGTAGTATTCAGTTCTCATCTATAAACAATAGTAAAGTCAATAATATAATTCAAAATGAAACCTTTTGCACTTGAGCCGCAGTGATGTTCAGTTTGCGGACTTGTGGAAGAAAGCGTCTCTGATAGAAGCCATCTAAGACACAAGTCAGATTGACGAATTTGTTGACAGCAGCTCGAAGATCGGGATCCTTAATGAAATTTTATTTATTGAAGCTCTTAAAAGGTTTATTTATTTAATTTTTCTAAAGAATTCTTACATCTTTAGCTGAGTTTATTTGAAAAGTAGCTTTTATCTTACCGTAATCTCGTGTTTTGTCCAATTCTTAGCATACGCGATTTTCTTGGAGCAGAGTTTGAGATTGTTGATCGCGAGAAAGGCCTAAACTGAAACTTTTAGCTTTTAAAAAATTTACTAATTTTATTTTTACGATAGAATTCCTACATCTTTAGCTGAATTCAGCAGCTCAGTTGTATTCACGAAGAGTGCTTGAATAGCTGCTGGACCGATATTCGGCTGAGCTCCATGGGCAGATGATAGGCAAAATGCGGCTAGAATCAATGATCGCATTTCACAAAATGACTAAAATGACCATCAAATCATTCTTTTTGACGATTATATAGTGTGAACTCTGCTCACTACCCAATTAGTTTTGCATTTTGCACCTTTTAGCACGGCTTTGTGATGGGAAAGCTCAAAACTCATCATTTCAGCGTCAAGCATCAAGTTTTTCAGCAGAGATCAAATATTTCCAAAATGAACGAATAATTCTACTTTAACAATTTGAACAGTTGGTCGATGCTTAACAGTTTTTTCACAGAGAATAAAGTGACAAGATCGTTTTAACTGGATAAGATCAGATACATTTAGTTATCTGATAGTATCTGGCTTCAATGACTTTACACCAAAATTCACTAGCTCCTATGCTACGCCAAAAAGCTACACTTTTACTGAAACGTAAATGCGCAAACTTACTATTGCTTTCGACTGGGGCCTTCTTGTTGATATTGGTAGCGTGCGTGCCTGGAAACTGGAAGCAGCTGAAGTATTGGAGGGTTATGCACCCTTGAAAGTCCTCGGAGCACCATATCTATATTGTTGATGCGAGGGACCGGCTTTGAGATCTTCAATTGCTTGCATGACATCAACATTTGAAGGGCCCCAAACGAATCGGGACGAAGCGTAGGCGTCGGCTCCGCCCCGTTGGTGAAAGGGCTGTGGATGAATGTACTTTCGTTTGATCGGCGGCTCTTCTTTCATCAGCTGTCTGGTAATCAGCAGATCAACAGAGTTTGTGAAACCAATCTGAAAGACGGGCAGGTCAAATTACGGAAAATTGTCGATTTTTCCCTATGTATCCCTCTGTCCGTTTGCTTCCACAAGCTCTGATATGTCAAAATTTTGATTCTATGCCCCAAAATTACCCAGGAAAATAACCTTTGGAATAGAAATTGATTAATATTAGCTTTCTTAAAACGCAAAAAAAGTTCTAGGTGTGCTAAAAAAGGTGCGGAAATGTCCCGGGTGCGGAAAAAAAGGTGAAACGAGACAACAACACAGGAAAATACAACTTAACACTTGCATTTTAGAACTCGATGAATCAACTATCGGCTATGCTTGCAAGTAGGGGAAAGGGAAAGTTAAAAGTAAGAATAGTTTTGTAGGTTTGGCGAGTCAAGCAAGCCAAAACTTGGTGACGCCGACTATAGCGACAACGAAAACAACAACAACTGCCTGTATTCAACGATTTTGTGATGGTTCTACGTATTCGTGTGGATTGAAAGGAGTAGTAAGCATTATGATAAGCAACGCTTAGCCCATTCACTCTTTGAGATGTGCTATTAAAAAGTCGACATCAACGGGATTGTCATCAGTGCTCTAACAAATTGCACAAACCCAAACTATCCATATTGTCGGTGTCACAATGATCGTGGTGGACTGCCAGCCTGCAGTTGCGTTCATTGTCGTGATCCGAATCCCACTTGTGCTGGTTGTTACACGGATAGATATTACTTTATTGATGAGCTCAACTCTGGATGAAAAATAAATAAATGACATTTGAGTTCCAATTTTTTCTCTTATTGTTAAACTCTATAAATCTCATCAAATAACTAGAAAAACAATTGAATACTATACAATTAATAAGCTAAAGATGAATATTTTCTCTTTTATCCAGCTGCCACTTTTGGAACGCAGAGTCCACTAGCTGGATTGACTGGAGCATTTAAGGGACATTTTGAACCAATGGCACCACCAGTTGCGTAAATTGGAATCTCCGCAGATACTCCCCTAAAAGTTTTACATATACTCTTGCTAAGAAATTACATTTCAATCACTTATCAATCTCTTACTTTTGCATGAGCCGGCAAAGGATCGCATAGGTTTGCAAGTCGGTCATATTTCTGTAGGCGCAGCCGATTTTCTGTGTGTCGCCCGAAATGATCTGAAATTTTTGTTGTTTATTTATCTAGAATATAGCCAATGACCAGGGTTTTCTCAGCTTCTCACCTGTTGAATGTGATTCCTCGCGTCGGCGCTGGTCCATTCAGAGAAATATCCGTGAATGACGTGCGGATAACGTTGATAGATCAAACCACCAATAACACCTTCTAGTTTCATCCTTCCATACCAGTTTTTCGTCCACGTATCGTCAACTAAAAAAATCCTAGTCGATAATGAAGGAATAATGAAACTCTAACAATAAGATTTAACAGCTTCAAAGTCTTGACAGGCCAATTCAAAAACTCACAATATTGTTGAGCACTTTTTTTATGGTTCTGAGTAGTCCCACGAATGGTGCCGATGAAAAGCTCGCCAGTGCAGCAGTCGTTATTGGTTGGTACCTATGGAAAATCATGATTGGATAAAGAATAAAATGAATAAATAATGTTAAGACTAAAGACAAACTTCCAAGTTTTTGAACAATTCCCTAACACTCACCAATCCATCCAACGTGCCGACTCTAATCCCCTCTGGGTTTGGATCCCTCAAAAACTCGAGTGTGTCTAGTCGTGTGCGAGCATCTCTAGCCAACACTGGATCCCAGAGCTGAATCAGTTATATGTATAGTTCAATTCTTAGAGTTTACCAGCTTGTACATTCTGGCCGCTTTTGGATAAAAGGTGCCTTTCGGTTCTAAAATTGGATTCTTTTTTTAAGTGGACTCTTATACCTTTACATTGTTGACGTTTTCACTAGTTTACCTTTAAAATTGCTACTTCAGATCAGTCTAGAAGCCACTAGTCAGGCCAAACTGGGTTATCATGTACCAGAATCATGTATCATGAATGTAGGGTTCATCTTCGGTCAAACTGTCGATAGGTTTACAACGGAAAAACGAGATTTGCCCACTTCAACGGCTACTTTTTTAGCGGTTTTTAGATAGAGCTTGAAAAATTCTACCTTCTTGTAGCAAGAAATCCTGAAAAGTAGTCGTTGAAGTAGTCAAATTTTATTTTTCCGTTGTACACCTATCGAAAATCAGACCGAAAATGAACAGCTCTACTATACTGTACGATACAAGACTCTAAAACTGTGCCTAGAGTGCCTGATCAAGGCTAACATGAGTTTTTTTGTGAAAAGAATGCATACTTCTTGCCCACGGTTCCACTCCTCTTGCCACTCGCGCTCGAAGCCCATTGAGTGTCTGAATGTACTAATTATTTACAGACAAAAGAAAATGAGTACAATGAATAACGTGCAGTACAAGTTCTTTTAATATTAAGTTAAAGCTGTTCATTCTTTGATAATAAACGTACAGCCAAAATGTGATTTTGAACAGCGACTGGGAAAATTGTTGAGTTGTCAACACTGCGAACCATTGGAACCTCGAATTGGGCTGAGACAGCTGAAAGTTGGCTTTGTTGAGTTCTTTGAAGTAGTTTTCTTTAAAGTTTTCAAAAAGCTTAAAAAGATAGCAATGAAAACTTTAGTAAGGCAAAGTCACGTACCTGTCACAAATACAGCCAACGGCGTTAGAATTTTCATCGCCATTTCAGCAAAAGTTTTTCGAACGAATCTCAATGTTCATCGCCCATTTTATACAACAAAATGGCTTTTGATCTCTTAATAAACTTAGTTTTTCGTTTTTCCTTTCAAAAGTCCCGAAGTTCCCTCAAAAAGATCAAAGTCTTTCATCGATTGATGTACCAACGGGTTCGTTTTGTGTATTTGCTAATAATAGATTTTCAACTGACGCTTTTTATTTGAAAATTTCCCGTTCAGAACTTTGATCCTTCTAAGTCTATTAAAATAACTTTCCAAGAATGTTTTTAAAGGTCATAAAATTTGAAAAATTCTGAATTTGAATTGAAAAATTGAAATTTTGGAACTCAACAACCTTTCTATGGAGCGAATATTTACCATGGAGTTTACTATTTGCCAGATTATTGTAGTAATAAAAGAGACTTGAACTTGCAGTATCCTTAAACAAAGCTTTATCCCGGATCTTGGCGGTAAAGCGTCAATCCAGCAAACGCTCAAGGGAAAAAAATATCTTTCCTATTGAAAAGATTTTACTTTCATTTTACACTCACTACACCTTGTTATATATTGGTACAAAATTATTCTCGAAATAACAGTTTTCTATTTTTAGCCACCCATTCAAACAGAGAATTGTTTAAAATGCTTCATTTTATTTCAATTTCCTAAAAATAAACATGATAATGATCGATCATTTGTTTTGATGTTCGTTGGGGAAAGAAATGGGAAGGGGAAAAGTTCACGGCTCAGATTCGTTGTTCGATTAAGGCTTGGGATAATTCTGGGAAAGATGCATGGTTAAAATATGCTTTAATTTTCAAATCTTTTGTTTTTGATTTTCAATTTCAATTTAATTTTTGATTCTGGTCGAGAAGGGTGATCTGACCGACTTTTAACACTCTTTTAACACTAATCCATTTTCTGAACTATTTTGATATACTTTTTCGAGGAAACTATTAGGTTGGTGCAGATGAAACTTCCGTTGGAACCATAAACAAAATTTATTATAAAAATCCTAATACAGAACCTCAATCCAAAAGATATTCGCCATCATTATCAATGACTCTTTGCCATCTTCCACGCAGAGAATGGATGCCCTTTTCGAAGAACTCGGGCAACTGCGACTCGAAGAAGTTGGACACCCAGATTTCAACTGCGACTCGAAGAAGTTGGACACCCAGATTTCAACTTCTTCGCGGTTTTTGAATTTTTTTTTCTGCTAAAGAGTGCTGCATCGACCGAAACAAGTGGTAGTCGGATGGGGCCAAGTCCGGGCTATATGGCGGATGAGGCAGAACTTCCCAGCCCAATTCCTCGATTTTCTGCTGAGTGATCTTTGCGGTGTGGGGTCGAGCGTTATCGTGGAGGAATTTTGTAGTCGCCGTGTTATTGCCTTGACGACGCAATTCCTGGTCCACGCGGCTCAATTGGGCTTTGTAGAGATCCGCCGTGACTCTTTGGCCCGAATCCAGCACCTCAAAATACACGAGACCTTTACTATTCCACCAAATACAAAGCATCACCTTTTTTCCGTGGATATTCGGTTTGGGAGTCGGTTTTGGCGGTTCACCGGCGTCCAACCACTGCCGTTTTCTTGTTGTGTTGTCGTAACATATCCACTTTTCATCTGCCGTAACAATGGAGTCGAGAAAGCCGGCGGTTTTTGCGCGGCGGACGAGAATTCCAGCCATTGTAGCCCATCTGAGCCTGTTTCCAAGGCAATCCGAGCGCAAAAACTAGCTTTGCGTAAAATAAAAGGTGATATAAAGGAATTGGCTATACAGATTGTTCTGAAAATCTTTGCTTTGATGACTTATTTATTCATTTTAGTCAAGCCGTGGTGATTTATCATTTCAAATCGATTACCCGAATGCTCTCGTAGAAAGCGGAGAGGAATTCAAAATGGGAGTAAGCAGGTAAGCAAGGCGAAAAGTCTTTTTGCCATAGACCACGTCCAAATGATCCGGTTCCACCGTTTTGAGGAACGCAATTGAGGCGTCCTTACGTCGCGACTAAAGAATGTAAGTTAAGACAAAAACTAAAGGAAAAACATAATAACAGGTCAATGAAAAACAAAAACGGTACTTGTGGAGTATCCGGGAGGGTCTTTCAATATCCGGGGGGGGGGTAAAATTTTAAGATCCGGGGGGGTAAAATTTTAAGATCCGGGGGGGTAAAATTTTATATACGTTATACACGACCCCTTTTAAAGATATTCAGCCGCTTAAGTGATTTGGTGGCAAATTCGCTTCAAATGTAAAGATATTCAATTTATTGAGGTGATTACTTGATTACGTGATTCAAGGTGATACTCGATCAAAAACGTAACTTCTACAAATTTTTTTTATGTCATTATTAGAAATGTTGATAATATCCTAGTTGGCGGGTCATTTTTTTTCTTCAAAACCATTTTTTGAGGTAGTTTTATGTGTTGATGTGGGTCCGGCAGATGCCTAACCCACATGTGGTTTTGAAGAAAAAAGTGGTCCCCCAACTAGGATACTATCAAAAGTTTTTTTTTTTTCAGAATGCGATATTCTGAGGTGAGCGCGTTTTCCGAGCGTGATGCGATTGATATTTTTGTTCAAGCAGGAATCCTTGCAGCACCAGCATGTGGATGTGGTCGTAAAATGAAGATTCGCAGTAAGGAGAAGAATGTTTATCGTTGGGAGTGTGGCAAGTGTATTCGTGAACGAGCCAAAGGAAATGGAGCAATAAAGGGCATGAGAGTAAACAATTTCTTTTCTCTTTCACACCGCCCATTCCATGAACTGGTCAAATATATGTCGATTTGGAGCTCTGGACATCACTCGATTGATTTTCTAAAAGACGAACTGGGATGGGCCAATAACACAACGGTGGATTGGAACAAGTATATGCGCCAAGTATGCGCTTGGATTGTATCAAGAAAGCAGCAAGGACAAATCGGGGGCCCCGGACTCACGGTTGAAATTGATGAGACGCTAATTGCAAAGAGGAAAAACCACAAAGGGAGAATCGTGCCAGAAAAGTGGGTATTTGGCGGCATATGTCGTGAAACGAAATCATATTTTGCCGTCATTGTGCCTGATCGATCCTCGGAGACTCTCATTAGAGAAATTCATCGCTTTATTGCGTCAGGTTCTCATATTCTTTCCGATGGATGGAAAGCATACCGCCCTTTGGCGAACGACAAACAATACACTTGGGGATGGGTAAATCATAGCGTAAATTTTTTGGATCCGAAAGATGCGACTATCCATACGCAAACAATAGAACGCTTCTGGCGACCTTTCAAAGATAGCAATCGATTTCGTCATGGAACCCACGAACACATGATTGAGTCATGGATTGCTGAAGGACTCTGGCGCCTTAGTTTGTCCAAAGGCGCGGACGCATTTGAGCAAATTCTCAAGGATATTGCTCATTTTTGGCCTCCTGGCCTAGAAGTAAATTCTATAGATTTTTACAAGTAGTATTCATTGTCACTGTTACAAATAGTCACTGTTGTACTTCACAAATTTATTTAATTATTATGTTTGGTTTATGTTTATGTTCTTGCATTACTCGTGCATCTTGTTTATTCGTTGCTTTTATTTTATAGTTATAAAATTTAGTTACCACACGCAAACAGCGGCAAAGCCAAGAGGATCGAAGCCTGGCAAAGTTCTATTAACAAGAAAAACATTGGCATTTGGTTGGTTTTTGAAAGTTTACCCCGGATCTTAAAATTTTACCCCCGCGGATCTTAAAATTTTACCCCCCCGGATCTTAAAATTTTACCCCCCGGATATTGAAAGACCCCCCCGGATACTCCACAAGTACCACAAAAACGATCAACGAAACCATGACAACATAAAAATTGAATCTATTCAGCTGGGATCTCGATGTCACCATTGTTGATGGAGTCGATGACGTCATGTGGGTGTTGTCCATCAATGGTGCAGCCGACCGATTGAGCGGTTCCGAGGATCTCCTTCACCGTTCCCTCCAACTTCTTTGCCATTGAACGACTGTGTATGGTCCTCGCGATTTTGATGATGGTGTCGATGGTGAAATCGCCGTTGTGCTGATGTTCTTGACCTTCTTTCTGTCGCGAGGTGGCTTCTTGAGTTCCTTGATGATGAGAGATGCAGCCGATGGCACCACATCGATCTTGGCGTTTCTGTTCTGGATGGTGAGCTTGCAGGTGACCTTCAATCCCTTCCAGTCTTGCGTTGCCTTCGCAGTGTCGTCTCCGACTTTCTTTGGCGACTAAAATAAAAAATATTAATTTAGTTGATAAAAAAGACGCTCGAGTAGCTGGGGGAAAGGGGGCAGTCTGAAATTTGACCCAGAACCAATATTTTTCCATGAAAACTTGCACAGGGATTTTTGATTGTGCTGAATTGCTTCGGCCTTCTGTTCTCCTAGAAATTATATTAGGCGCCTGTATGTTCCTAGGCTTTGGCTCCGCACCTTAGAGACCTGACTGGAAACACTACTCTCCAATCTTCGGCATCCTATTCTCTTCTAGATCTCCAAATCAATAGAAGACCGAACCGATTCAGCATAGTCAAAAAACCATGTGTGCAAGTTTTCGTGGAAAAATGTTGGTTTTAGGTCAAGTTCCAATTTCATGTATTAACAATGTAAAAGATGTAGCCCTTCTAGCGAGTTAATCTACCAGTTATGCCATGACAAACATCAAAGTTTGAAGAAAAAAGAACTCACCAATCCAAGGGGCCCAACTTTGGGTGCGAGAGCTGATGTGGCTCCGACTTCTCCGCCTATACAACGCAAGTAGACGATCTTGATCTCAGTTGGATCGAACTTGGGTCGCATACTTCCGTTTGATTTCGCCTATATATCTATTATAAGAGAATTTTGTTCTGTGGGCAGCGTCTCTAAGTTTTTGATTGTCCATTATTCGTCCGTTGGGTGTTCGAAATTTTTCAATAAGAAAACTTTCCTTTATTTCCGTTATTCACAAAGGGTTCTAATTTTATCTTAGAAGTATTAGTATTCCTTTTAGCATTATTAGATTTTTAGCTTTCTATTTATGAAAAAGAAAACTTTCTAAAAAACGGTAGCAAAATGATATAGATTTACTTATCACATGACATTTCAAGTTGATATCTCTTATTTGAAAATTTCAATCGTTTGGTTTATTTTCTCTTTTTAGATGGGCGCGAACGTTTACGCCAATCGTGTCATCATCAAATTTCGCGAGGAAGCAAATGCACCTCTCCAGATTCAAGTTGTGCGACGCTCTATCAAAATCACCCAGAATATGCGCTCGTTCTCTTTCAATCTGCCTGTTGGCGGGAACAAAGAATACGGATTAAATCGAGCAAATCTGGGAAGCGTGATCAGCTTGTCGCAGAGTAGCGTGACATACATCTCCAGGAACATTGTGTTCGAGGTCGGTTTAATTCATATTTTTCATACTTTTCTAATGGTGCTTTTAATTATCTGCGATGATCGTTAGACTTTTAGAGTCCTGAACCACGACACGTTGCGCGATCACTCTTCACCGCTCAACGAGCTGTCCGTGGCCCAATAATGGTGGAGCTGACGGTGGTAGATCTCTTCGTGGATCTTTTCGAGCCAGGCACAATCCAGGATTTCCAGGCAAAATTAAATCGCCAAAGATTTGATAAGCTGCCTTAAGCTTTTGGTATGTTTCACTTTAAAGTTTGGGATTGTTAAAAATCCTGAAGGAAACTAGGTCAAACAAGAATAGTATTTTTTTAAAAGTTTTGGTTAAATTGTTGGTTAAATTTTTGTTTCTTGCGCGCTTCTTGTTTTTGTTTTTTCTTTCGTCGATTTTTTGAAAAAGTTATTGTAAATAAATCTTTGAATAAAAAAACAAGAAATGGTATGAGTAAAAGTTCATTTTTTTATCCTTTTCTTACTCGCCTAGAAGTATAGAGTGTCCTGCTTTAATGAGTCGTTTTTCGACTAGACTTGATTAGTGAAATTTTTGAAAAGTTCTTCTATGGAGAAAATAAGTTCAAAATAATCAATTACATCTCGATTAGACCTCTTCGATATTATATTCTTTTAGAGTTGCTCCTGACTTCCTGATTTCCTTCCTCTACATCTCAACTTACCCATACGAATAATCAACCTCGGATTGTTAATGATTTTTTGTCTTAACCTCTAATGATGGTTAAGTTTTTGTTTCTTGTGCGCTTCTTGTTTTTGCTTTTGTCGTTCGTCGATTTTTTGAAGTATAAATAATTATTATAAATAAATCATTAAATAAAAACAAGAAATGGTATGAGTAAAAGTCCATTTTTTTAGCCTTTTCTTACTCACCTAGAAGTATAGAGTAGGGGCCAGGGGTAGAGGTTTGAGAGCATACCTAAATGCTCGAGGTAAACGGTGGTAAGTTTGTGATTTTGAAGAGTAGTATGATAAATTTGTTTTAGGGCCTTTCTCAATTGCTGAACGAGGCAGTGATCCGGTGGTTGCCGATATGTGGGCTCAAATGACAGCAATGGTCGGAAAGCGATACGCGAGTACTTCGGGAGACGTGCCAATCGGGGCAATTTAATGTTGAAGTTGATGGTCCAATTTAGTTTCGTCGATCATATGCAAAGATCTGTCGGCCAGAATTTGGAGCGAGCCCGGCGAGGAGGGGTCCCTGGAACACGAGCGTTGACTGCTGCATATATCAAGCTTAGTTTATAACCTATGCATATTAAATATTAGCATCATTTAGGGATGTTGTGATATTACTTCTGACGTTGAAGATGGCTGTCTCGGTGATGATTGTCCTGTGTGGCAAGTAATCTGCACATGCTTCCGAAGTGGTGATCTGGCTGCTGCAAGTGATGCTTTGGATGTATTGTTTAATATGTTAGTACGCTCAATCGCTTGTCGATTTCAGAAAGTTGCGACTAATTGACGAACCAATGTTCTTTACAAGGCTCTTGTGTATTTGAAGAGCAATTCCAAGTATGAATCATTTGTTTTGCGTTTGATGCATTAATGTTTAGATTGACTCAAAGACAAGCTAAAGGTCGAATGGAGACACGAGCAGAATTCGGTCAGGGATCTCTTCCGATGGTGAGTTAAAAGCCATTCAAGCAAGAAGATATTGAAAATTTAGATCGGTGTACTGTGCTTTATTGGTGTCGAAGCGCCGATCGCCGATACAATGGAAAATTGGTTATGGTTCAAAGTACAATTTATTTTACAGGACCTCCTTCAATTAGGCTTTAGTTGATTTGAACATGCGATTGATTTGCTTGTTCAGGTATATGTCGTTTCAATAATCATGGCTTTGATTTTTTAGATAATTGTTGGGTGATGCTGTTCACATGGCAATCTTGGCTCACGAGAATACTTTGCTGCGACTGACCGATGCTATAACGGATGTGCATAACGTCAAGCTTTGTTCGTGGATTTCTCTATATCAAAATTGTTTTTGTTTTAGTGAACTCAACAGATCAATCAGTTGATGCTTCGATTTCACTTGCTCGCCTTTTGGTTGCTTACACAAAGCCCTTTGAAATGGATGCCATTGAGACGACGCTCGACTACTTTTACATTATCAAGGTAGCGATAGTGTTATTAATTTTACACATTTCTAACTGTAAATTCAAGGATCAAAAGACTGCACTAGGACGTGATATCTTCGAATCAGCTGTCTCTCGAGTGCTCTACCTCACCGGGGAAGTTCGGAAAGTGATTGGCGAAATTAAAAGCTCAAAGCGAACTCCGGCCTTGATTGATAAGTAAAAACAGTGCCATATACAGAAAAACGTTTTTTTTAGTTACGACATTGATGCCAAGGCGGTGATGACTCGCGTAGCTGAGGACACGGAACTATCGGGAAACGCGGATCAAACCATTGAGATTTTGCACACGTGTGGTGGAGATGATCGAGCAATCACTGTGATGTGCAAACGACTCGATGAAGCAATCACACAAAATGACGAGAAGCTGCGCAAAAAGCTGATTTGTGCTGCACAAAAGCTTGCAAAAGGTAAACAATGTTACCATCGTGAATACATTTTCGATTTAGATGCACCTGCCGCTTCACATGAACGGATTCAAGCATTATGAGTTTTGCTGGACACTTTGCAGCTGCTGATTAAATGTCAACAAGCTGACTATGAAAGCGCTCTAGAGGTGTGTTTCTTACTTTGCACTTTACAATGTTTTTAGATAACCAGAAGAACTGGGCTAATTCCAACTGTTCTGGAGCAAGTTCACGTTTTTACTTCACAAGAACATTTAACGCCTCGACAGGTTGGTGAAAGTAAAACTGCTCGTAAGACCTCAATGTTTAGGTGACGACAGTGCTTCCCGATGTGTGTTTGGCGGTAATGAATTGTCTCGAGGTCGGGTTTGCCCAATCCACAATTCCTGTTCAACAACGTATGCAAAGGTGAAAATTTTAGATAGACGATCTTAAAGTTTTACTTTAGATTGGGTCAAGCAATCGTGATGTTTGCAGCGAGCACCGCCTACCAGTTCCCGCGGAACATCATCTCAAAGATTCTCGTGATTCAAAATTCAGTAATTGACAATTGACACCATTTTCTAGTCTTCATTATATGATTGTTCAATTGTTATGATTTCTTTATATTTTTGATCTCGTGTTTATTTCTATTTATTCTGGACTGTTTACAGGTATAATTTAAGGTATGTTTACAGGTATAATCTCATTGTTTGTCTTAATAGCGAAGTTGTACGTTCCGATAAACGATTTCCAAACGAAAACACTAAATAAAGTCCTAAAGTAAACGTGCGAAGTTGGTGTTGGAGTATCGGTGGAGATGTGTTGTCTGTGGAGTCATGGAGAAAGGTAAAAGAGCTCTGCGGCGCATTGATTCAGTCAATCGATTTGGGGCATTTTTGTGGAAAGAACGACAACATCCACTGTGATCCGTATTGCGAGTAATAATGCCTGTAAGTTAGTTTATACGACGAACTCTTATCTTTGTATACGCCTACTCTTAATTATACTCTTGGTAGCATTTTTGGGTTTGGGGTTGACCGTTTTATAGCTTGTAGCCCATTCTTCGGAGAAATATTTGACCGGCAATTAGGCTATGCTTAAGAATTGGATAATTCCGATCGATTTATCTAACTAGTTTAATCGAACCTGCTTTTTCAGATAATGCGTCGCGATCTATCGATAATACTTCCACTCGATTTCGGGTTTAGAAACTTTAGAATAGAAACTTTCGATTCTCATTTTCGATAGAAACTTTCGTTGAGATCCTTTTTTGATCAGTTCATTGATATTTATACAAAATTAAACAATTGAGTCTATGACTGAAGACCATTTATCAATGAATACTTTCCCTATATCTATTCAATGCTTTCAATTTTTTTAAAGATTCATCACTTTTTCTAAAAACGTTTCTTTTCTATTTAATGAAAAGAATGAAGAATTGATTTGAATTTAGTGAAATATCTGCAGACTAAATATTTGGTTGAACGATATGAAATATCGGCGACTTTACCATGACCCCATTCCTTCAACTCACCATAGATTTTTCTCATTTTTTGAGAGTAGATACTAGAACCATTTTCTATATTAATATTGAAATATGGAGCACGTTCTATGGTAAATTCACCAAGAATGGCCAGCTAGAAAAATCTGGTTTTTATATGCCCGTAAAATCCATGTTTCAACATGAAAAATGAGAAAAATCTATGGTGAGTTGAAGGAATGGGGTCATGGTAAAGTCGCCGATATTTCATATCGTTCAACCAAATATTTAGTCTGCAGATATTTCACTAAATTCAAATCAATTCTTCATTCTTTTCATTAAATAGAAAAGAAACATTTTTAGAAAAAGTGATGAATCTTTAAAAAAATTGAAAGCATTGAATAGATATAGGGAAAGTATTCATTGATAAATGGTCTTCAGTCATAGACTCAATTGTTTAATTTTGTATAAATATCAATGAACTGATCAAAAAAGGATCTCAACGAAAGTTTCTATCGAAAATGAGAACTCTTCTCATTTTTGCCACTTTCCTTCTCGTCACCTATTCCATAGTCAGGTTAAAATTTTGAAACTATTTAAAACTTAGACTTCTAGAATCAAAATCGAGAAATCGAATAGGAAAATAGGCAAAGGACTGATTAGACATCAACAAAATTTTCAGCCTGACGAATGTTCTGAGCGTGGGTTGTTTGCTATGAAAAAATTTATAATTTAATACTTCATTAGGAAACCCAAAAAAGTTTATTATATACAGGTTGAGCTGCAACTTAAAGCAATTGCTTAAATGCCTCAAAAAGACAAATTTAGCCGTTCAAAGACGTCATAGGCGTTTATTCTCTTGGGCAAAAGAAGAACCATTGAGAAATATAAGAAATGTAATCGCTTTGATCGTTGAATAAATATCCCGATTCACTTTAATTCTATGATAATCGATGATATTTTTTAGGAACTTTGGACGGGCGACGTTTCAGTGGACATTCTAAAGAAACCTTTCAAGATCAACTTTGACACTGGATCGACCACTTTCTGGGTGGCCTGTGATTGTGTAAATGATCCGAAAAATACATGTGCTGGACATACGACTATTGTAAGCAAGAAAAAAAATGCACTGAAAGTTTAAAAATCTCTAGCTTGATTGCAAAAATTCTCCGATATGTACGAAAACTTCAGTCGAATATTGTGCCGAATATGCAGATATGAGCATGGCCACCGGTTTTTGGGTTAAAGATCGCGTTTGCGTGAGTTTCATTCTTTTAGAGTTAATCGGCTTTTCAAGATGAACAAATCGAATATTGGGTTGACCCATAAGTCTTGTTGACAATTTGTTCTACTAGCGTTTATAAATGACCAATTCACCAATTGACGGTTTGCTTCAAACAGAAGATGTTTAGCATTCACTTTTCTATCATTTCAAACAGATTTGAGTCTATTTCCAAGTAAATTCGAGTGCAAAAATTCGTTTTTCGTAAAATTCTATAAAAAGCTCTACAAAGAAATCGGCTGAATAGATAATCTTGAAAATTTGGCTATATACCTAACTTTTTGCGCTCTATCTTTTATCTATTGACAGCAACATAGGTTTCTGTGGACCAAAAGGCCTAAATTGCGTCTTCGAGTTGTGGCCTTTTTTGGCTACCCGACTTCACGTCCCCATAAAAAAACCAGAGACAAAACATTTTGATAAGATTTGAACGTTATTTTGTAGAAAAATAGTAGGCCTTTCTAATGGAGCCAGTTGTAGGTCCAGTTATAGCCAATTGGTAAAATTTGTTTTCTATAAACGCTAGTAGAAAAAAGTGTTACCAAGACTGGGCCAACCTAATAGTAAACAGATAACAGAAAGACTCAAACAATCATTTTCAAGATCGATCATCTGTGCACCAACAACGAGCAATGGATTGGCTGTGCAAACTCTACAACTGTCGGCACTGATGTAAGTTTTTTTTGAAAAATCTTTATTGTATTACAGTGATACACATATTATACTATTATATTTGATACATTAATAAAATTTTGGATTAGGAAGCCGCAACGGGAGACGGGATTATGGGCTTGGCGTACAATGACGGATCGATGAAGTGGTCACCGTTGCAACAGATATTCAGAAAGGTATGAGAGCATTAACATTAGCGTTTTTACTATTTTGTAACTTCCTCAAGCTATCAAACACACGTAGATAAGTGTTATATATCATTTGAAAGCTGAAAATCTCCTCTACATTTTGATATAAAAAGTTTTGGAATTTGTTCAACTTTTGGGGAAATTGACTGCAAAGAAGGAGCGATAAGCAAAAAAACGAAGGGTGGTTTTGGATCAAGTTTTGGCTGCGCTCAAATCGAGTCAACAGTTTGATATTTAATCAATAGATAGAGCAATACAATTTATATTTGAAATATAACAATTTCAAGAAGCGGCATTCGACTTACAAAAAATTGGAACTAAATTAAGAATAAGTTTCCAAAAACGTTCAAAAACAAAGATTTTTTTTTGCGGAAACTTGAAAAACACTGTAAAATCGAGAGTTGTCAAGCGATCGGTCCCAACTTTTATATTTTTAAGTAACTCTAAAGAGCAGTTATTTTACACCATAAACTTGAGGAATAGCTAGGCTGAATGGATTTTTCGTTTTTGAAAGCTGAAACGACCGCTTTTTGGTCACCTCTCCTTCTAGTCAATGATATATAACACTCATCTATATCCGTTTGATATCTTGAGAAATTTACAAAATAGTAAAAACGCTCACAAGTTACCGACCAAATACTTGTCCTTATACTAAACATTCTTGTGTAAAACTTGGAGAAAACAAGTTGAACCAGTTGAATGCATCAGGATCTGTTTGTCAAATGGTACTGTAAATAGACTCGTTTTAAGTTCAGTAGCAGTTCTAGGTTCTATTGTTTTATAGAACTATTCAAGAACAGGATAACTTTTTTATTCTTCTTTTTTATTTTATTTTTTATTTTATTTTATTTTTTATTTTATTTTATTCTTCTTCAGTACAACTTAGAGCAATCGAATCGCAGATCTTGGAGTAAAGGATAGAGATTTTATCTAATCGTTTTCAATCCAAGATTATCGAGATTTAGCCCGAATGTGACGAGAAAGTCTTTGCTTTCTATCTCGACTCGGAAGCCGAAAATCGACAAGACAAGAGTGAGATGACCATCTGTGGCATCGATCCCAATCATTACATAGTTTCTAAAATACTGAAACTACCAATATTTTACTTAAGGGAAAACTTGAATGGTTTAAAGTGAAGCCGTACTCGGATGAAGAGTCAACGAATTACTTTTGGATGATAAACGTGACGAGCGTGTTGATCAACGGGGAAAAGGTACTGTTGTACCGCAAAGCTATCTATCTATACTAAATATAATTCCAAAACCTGCATGTGTCACCATGTAATAAAAGAACTCACCATGCTGGACGGTAACAAAAAAAGAATGCAAAATTTGGGGGTTTTTGCCATAATCTTTGGTTTAAATGCAAATTGCCCTTAAATGCAATTTTTTGAGGCGTTAAGGGATTGGTTTGAAGATCGTTTCTACTATGACTTTTATGGGGGTTAGAGTTGGACAGGCTGGTCCTTTTATGGGTTGGGGCAGAGAACATGGTCGGCGCCGGGGTTCGATCCCTCGACCTCTCGCTTACCAGGCGAGCGCTCTATCAATGAGCTCCACCGACACGTATCTCATTATCGCCAAAGTAGCGTCTTATGCCTTATTTTAGGGAAAGAAGGCACGAGCGGACGCACTCAAGCTTTTGCAATGAATATGCTTGATTAGGTCTACCAGAAATCATAACTGCGGTATTAGTAGTTATGTAAGAACAGCTCTTACTTTGGGTTAGGGTTAGTGTTTTACTTTAACTCTATGTTGCTAAGGGACAAATCTGTTATAATTTTCGTTTTATTCTGTAACTGAAAGATCCCGAATTTCCACCTGCTGGTGCAATATAATTTCAGGTGTGGAGTGGGGATGGAAATATGTTTCTTGACACGGGTTCGGAATCTTCGCAGTTACCAACAGTTGCAATGAGGAGAATGAAAGAACTGGTGATCAAAGATCTTACTCTGTATGCAGATTTTTAGATAAGCTCTACGAGCGACCCCAAAAACTATCCAAAAATCACTTACATAATTGATGGCACTCATCATTTCCATGTACCCTCGGCTGCGTATTGCGAGGATTATTCTGCGGTAAGATAAAATTGTTATCCTACTGTCATTTTTCTTTGATTTTCTTTGACATACATTTCCAAATTCTATAGAAGCACTGTGGAATGGGTCTTTTTGCTGAAAAAGACGCCGAAAATCTCGAGTTTGGAGTTTTGGGCGATACATTCTTGCGAGCCAACTATGCCGTTTTCGATCCGATCAAAGGTCGCATTGGACTTGCGCCAAGTGCATAGCCTTGAAAATCTATCTTTATTGGCAATAAATTTTTTTGCACTTTGCGCAGAATACAAGTCGAACAGCGTTTCCTTTTATTCAACAACAATTTCTTCTTTCAAAACCAGATCTTCGACATATTGCAGCATGCTGGCAAGCCTCTCTTCTTATCTAATTTACATGGATAGTTGTGATGCACATGACTGCAACCACAGTCCCTAGTTCGTCGGATCAGCCTGGAAATTGATTGAGCTGACAATGAGCTTAAGGAAAAGGTCCGACATAGGATCTATTCTCACTAAAACCAAATTATCGATGTAGTAATATAATTTTTGTACAATGGCGGGGGGCGTGTAAATGTCCCACAATCCAGCAACAAAGCTGTTTTTCGCTTTTTTAGCGTCACTATGCCGAAGTTTTTGGGAAAATTTAAATTTTCTTGTTTTCAATCAAAAACAAACTTTTTGCACGCTATAACATTGTCCTTTCTGGCTTCGGAACTCGCTCTTTTTTGTCGGCCTTGGCGAAACTTTGTCCTCCGAAGCCTCGAGCTTGTTGGAAATCCGCAAATCTGAACTATCAATCTGAACAAGACTCACTCTAGTCATCATTTTATAATTTCACCTCGTCAAACGAAATCAACGAGATTGTATCTTGTTTAGGGCCAGCGTTCGGATTGCACACATTCGATGCGACCATACATTCGTCCATAAATTTATCAGACAAAACTGTTCCTAAAATGTTCTTCAAAGTATTTTCTCAATTTGAAACAAACGTTCGAAAGTTGAAAATCAAGATTTGAAAGTCGATCTTTAAACTTCGGCTGCTCCCAAAGACGAAAAGAAGTAGTTTGAACATTTTTTGCTTTGTTGAGCATAGGCGGCAAACGAAAAGACTACTTATAAAGGATCAAATCGAAGGTTAATTTTGGATTTCTTTCATTTGTCTCTACATGTAGGATATAGATTTGTGAGTCTCAAAATAAAAACCTAGATTTTAAAATGTAATAAAAATCTAACTGTGAAGTATACAGGTTACCAGAACAAAGGTAAAACCAAGTTCGTTCGATTGATTTTTTTTTCTGCTTTCTAACTTGTAAAAGACAAATTTCGTTGAAAAGACTGATTGATTGATTGATTGATTCAATTGATTCAGCGGTCAAAATGGAGCAACAATATCGGAACATGTGCAATGTTTTCCGACCGAGCACCACGAAAATCAGCTGGTCGAAAGATGGAACGTTCTATTTTATCTCGAATGATCTCGCTTTGATTCGAGTATGGATTTCTCAAATCTTAAATTAACTAATAGTTTTCTTCGGTTAAAAGAGCCTCTGTATTTCGGGAAAGCTCAATCGAATCAGAATCCCCAGATTCAGATCCCTCAGATTTTTTTTTGCTGCTTTCTAACTTGTAAAAGACAAATTTCGTTGAAAAGACTGTTGTTTCTATGTAAGCATTTCCTGAAACAATTCGTTTTTCAAAAATTATGCAAAAGAAACAGAAGAGTGGAGGCGAAAGTCTTGCAATTTTAAACGAGCACATTTTTTGTAAAGACTCATTCACCATTCTTTTCAAGAATTGTCTTTCTTTAAAGATTTCCTTTTGGCACTTCAGGTTTTCTAAGCTTTCTAAGGGTTATCATTAGAAAGAATCAACTTTTCACTATTACTTTGAGTCCTTTGCGGTTTTGATCAGTTTATTTCAATGTTTTCCAGAGTGATGTCAGCTCTGACACAAGGCCAAATCGATTGTCTCTTCCGAGCTTGTCAAGAAGCAGATCGTGATCAAAGTGGATACATTTCGCGGAACGAGTTGCGCAATCTGATGGGTGAGACCGGGATGAACTTGTCTGATGATGAGGTAAAAGAAAGAGAATCACTAAATCGAATCATTTCCAGGTGGACGAGATGCTTGGTAGAGCTGATGTCAACCAAGATGGATACGTGAACTATGAGGAATTCGTGAGAATGATTGCAATTTAGAAGTTTTTACAACTTCGTAAAGAAGATTATGTTTTTCTTTTAGAAATTCTCTTAAATTATTTATTTAAATTGTTTAGAACGTTGAAATTAAATAAACTTTTTGCCTTTAAAACTTTAAAACACAAAGAAAACAAACTTTGGTATTTGTCGGTTTTCCACGGAGACTCATCTCGGTTGGGCATCTCCATGCGAATCTTTTCGGTTATCCATTCTCGTTCAACTGATCGACTGATCACTTCAGGTGAGCACTCTACTTCACTGAACATCACCGCTCACAAGGAGCTGACCCTTGCTTAACCGAGATGAGTTTGTGTGGATGTATAACCGACAAGTACCCAAACTTTTAACTTCAAAGAAACAATAATGCAAAACAAAGGAAAATAAGCTCACTTTTAGATTTTATCCGATTTACTTAATTCTGATTTCAATCTATAAGAAAAATTACTCGAGCTTTTGCAAATTATCCACCAAAACACATTACAAAACAACTATTTCATGAGTAAAGTTTTGCTTTATGAATGAAACTTTGAACGTGATAATGGGATCAAATCATAACTATTACTATTTACTTTAAATTCAATTCTTTTCTTGTTTATCTTTTGAGTGTTCAACGGTCATTTCATATTCCCATGCCATTTATTTGACTTGATTCAAGTGGAGGCGAAAAAGGGACCAAAGAACCAAGTGATTCTCAAATTTCAGCTGTGAATCAAAAAAGTTAACCATTCACTTTCATTGTATTCACTGGAGTTATCAAAGCCCAATGAATACATTTTATTTTTGTTTGATTTATTTCGCTAAATTCCTTGATGCTCAATTTGACTTTGACTACGATACTGCAAGTCCAGGTAGTGCATGATTTCTAAAACTAAACTGTCAATGTCAATGAAAGAGTCTCTGGACCCACCAGAAGCCAGGCAAGAACTTGTATTTTAGCCGGGCTCTGATCAGATTGGCCTTAGAAACCCTAGAATCTATTGGGTTGGTGAAATGAAAACTGCGGGACTTTGAACTAAAATTTATTCAACATAAAACCATCAATTCATTCCAAATAATTTCCATTATTATTGACGACTTCTGCCCATTTTACAGGCAATTTGCGGATTCCTCTTTCGTAGTAGGATTTTGGTTTGTGTGTGAGACAAGTGTGAGACTCAAAAATGGAGGGCTGGAGATGTCCCAGTTTGAGCACTTTCTTCAAAAGAAACCCATTTTGGTATCAATAGAAAAGTTGTAGAGAATCAGAAATTAGGCTTATATCCAAATTTCCAAAAAGATTCACTTAGTAGTTTCGCTTAAAATGCAAGTTTTATGAAAATTCGTAAATTTGGCATTTCTTGAAAACCAGTTTTTGAATCGTTCTGAAAATTTGGATATAAGCTTAATTTTTGATTCTCTACAACTTTTCCATTGACACCAAAATGGGTTTCTTTTTGAAGAAAGTGCACAAACTGTCACATATGACAATAGCCGGCAGTTTTCAATTCACCAACCCAATAGTATAACTTAAAGTGCAAATTACAAATTACAAATAAAAATACAAATTTTCATCGAAAGTGTCTGAAAAAGAGTTTAACTTTAAAAGTTGCAGAAGAATACAAATCACACATGAATGATGCGAACAACTTGTATAATGAACTTTTTACGAAGAGAAACTACAATCGTTACTTGTTTCCATTTAATGGGAAAACTGGCGAAAACGGAACTGGTCATATTTTACTTAAAATTCGGAGAAAAACCAATTTCAGCGAACAAATTGCAAGTGCATTTTGATCTTTTTTACATAAAACTGGTCTCACTCGATGCAGAGAGCCAACTCTTGAGTGTAAACCTCGAATTGAAAATGGTATGTTAGCATCAAGAAAACTTTTGAAAGCAATATTGAATATAGTATTGGCGAGACCCGAGACTTGTCTGGGATCCAACAAATTTCAATGGAACCGATTATCTTTTCGTCTCGACGGAGATCATGTGGATTCCAGACTGTCAAATAGGGAATGCGTTAGTTTTATAGCTTATAGTTAGTAAAAAAAAACAAATATTGGGTTGATGCATAATTATCCGGACTTCTTTTATAAATGATTTTATTTAACAAAAAATAACATAAATAGTTAGAAAAATATGTTTAATTGATTATTCTGGAGCATATTCACCGCCTACATCAATAACTGATTGCCATTTGCTTGGAAGACGATCGATTCCACGAGCGAAGAATAAACGATCTTTGGAGGCAATCCACGCTTTAACATCGTCTATCAAGTCATCCAAATCGTTGTAGATCTTATTTGTTTGCCAATTTTTGAGCGATCGATTGACGTGGTAGTCCGTTGGGGCTTCAGTAGGAGAATATGGCGGGTGTGGAAGAAGATCCCAGCCCTTACTAGCGATGGATTCGACGACATGGCGCTCAACGTGCGGACGTGCGCTATCGTGGTGAAAGACGATGTTGTTCTTTTTGCGCGGTCTTCGTGCCTGAATTGCAGCATGTAAGCGTTCAAGTTGTGCCAAGTAGACGTCACTATTGATGTTCAATTGCTTCTTGCCATTTTTGTCTGGAATTCGCCATTGCTCACGTTCATCATCGTCATTCCACCAATAACAGATGCCGTTAGAGATGATTTCCCAGTGGATGATTCCGCTTCTGTCCCACCATACACACCACATTGCTTTCTTACAGTGGACATCTTTCGGTATTCCTTTAGGTGAAACACCTAGCGACACGCAGACTTTCTTTCTCTTGAGGTTCTTGAACAACAGCCATGATTCATCGCCTGTGACGAGATTCTTCAAAAACGGTGCTTCCTCGTTTCGTTGCAACAAATCGGTGAAAATTCGAAGGCGATCTGCTTGGTTCTTCTCGGAGAGTTCGTGTGGGACCCATCCAGCCAATTTCCATACTTTGCCAAGCTTTTTGAGATGGCGCACGATCGTTGACTGGTCAACATTGAATTCATCTGCCAGCATTCTGGTTGTCAGGCTTTCGTCTTCTTCAACGGCTTCCAGAAGTGTCTTGTCATCGAATTCTGATGGCCGTCCTCTTCCTGGTTCATCATCAACACTTGTGTTACCGGACTTGAAATGATCGAACCATTCATAAACTGTTGCACGTCCAATTGTTCCTTGACCAAAAAGTTCTTTGAGATCGCGAAACGACTCTGCGGCAGACCATCCCTTTTCGAAGTGGTAGAGCATGATATGGCGAGGATGGATATGATTGTCGACACGCATTTTGTTCACTAAAGAATAACAAATATTTAAAAAAAAGAAATAGACAAAAAGCTTTCAAAACAAAAAAGATACAAGCACGCAAAAAGAAGTCCAGATAATTATGCATCAACCCAATAATAGCCAGCTGGGACTTTTGGCTTGGCTTCGTCGAATCTAATGTTTTAAGCGATTTGTGTCGCTACTTTTCTTCTATTCCGGGATAATTATATATGATGAAGCGATTAGTGCTAAATTTTAGAGTATTTCCAACATATTTTAAATTAGTATTGCAGCTTTCCAAGTGCAATCAGCCTTGAGATAAGGTTCGGTGGTTAAAGTACAGCAGGCTAACCAGGACAAATCATCGAATAGGATTATCAAAAACGTGCTTAAAATAGCATCAATTGCTTCAGCATATATCTCTTTCTTCAGAAGTATCGACACGAATCGCTCAAAACGCTAGATTCGACTAAAGAAGTCAAAAGTGGCTCCTCCCAACCACCAAAATACCAGGCTTTGAGCCTTCAAAGAATCATGAATTTATTTAGTAAAACACTTGATTCGGTAAAAGCTGGAGAGGCGATGAGATCCGTGCAAATCTCTAGCAACGGCACCGTCTACTTCCCTGTGTTCTATTACACTGAAGTGGCTTGTCCAATCATTGTAAGTTTTCGGTAGTCTTCAGTGAAAATTTAGCTTTGCGAATAGCTTTGCTGAATAGGGAAACTATTCCATTAATTCGTTGACACTGTTGACAAAATATTTTTTACTTTTTTCTAGATCATTTTAGATCAGGACATGAAACATTTTTAGATTAACACTTTCCCATTTGACAAACAACTCTGCCCAATTCCGATAATGTCACTGGCTTTTGATGTGTAAGTGTTGATCAGGCATCCAATTGACCAACCCATTCAGACGATCCATTTCGATGAGTGTCGGCATTGATCCTTTTCTCTTTCAGATGCAGCAAATGCAGGTATTTGATTGAAATAAGTCTTGATTTGTTCAAGTGCTAAATTTTCTCAGACCGCTGAAATCTTGGCGAGAAGTGCTCAAAATCTCAGCCTACAGAATCTGCCGGCCACTGATGGACTGGTTGGAGTACTGTTCTCGAAGCAGTTCTTGGCTTGGGTTTGTTTTTAAGCCCTAGATCCTTGATTATAGGTCAATGATAATGTTGATCTAATAGCTCGAAAAGAATCAGTTGCACCTGTTAAAAAACAAAAGCGTAAAAAAGAACTTTTAGAGTCAAAAGGAATTTTTTAAAGTATTCACACTTTGAAAGTCCATAACTTTGTCTGGGAAGAATATTAATGTTAACTTTTTATGGTTTTAATGAAAACTTCAGGATTTTTAAATGATGCCAAATAGATTTTGATTAGACTAACGAGTCCTGAGAAAATTGAAAGACAAGTCGCTGGAGTCGGATCGCATTATTCTTTCAGTTTGAGTGCGGTTTGAATAGCACAATGGTTTGGCAGGAGGCAGGTTTTGTAGCAAAAATAGAGCCAAATTTGAGGCAAAGGTTTAGGCAAAGGTTTTGAGGAAAAGGTAAAGGTTTTTTCCAAGGAATTTCGGCATAGTGACGCCAATAACGGGAAAGTCGGTTTAGGGTGCAAAAGTAAAGCACCCTATACCAGAGCGGTTTGCCAGGCGGCTAGCGAATGCGCGGGTGCATAAAGAACACCACAAACACAGAGATTTTATTTTTCTTTGTGATCGCCCCGCAAGGAGATATTCAGTTGTAAATTATCGTTATCGGGGTCGAGGAATCGCGGTACCAAAAAGCTTTCAGGGAAACGGTGAATGGGATGTGACGAACATCTCATCACTTAGCGCAAGTCAGGGAGGAATGGAAATTGTAAGTAAAAGCTCTGAACCTAAACAATCTTCTTCAGTTATGTTATATGCTCAGCATTCGAAGAGTACCAAATTTCTATGTTTACGTGATCGCCACTCCTTGTTTCATTCTGACAACTCTGTCAATTGTGGGCATGTTCTGGACACCGAATATTAAAAAGGAGCAACTTGTTAAGGTAAAAAACAAACTGAAGTAAAAAAAAATTAGACACGTAGATTGTTTTAGTCTAAATGTAAATCTTTTCTCATTTCTCTTTACCTTTCAGCTAACGATTGGTCTGCCAAGTCTCGTATCGATGACTGTTTTGTTGGATATGCTTTCAAGTGCTATTCCGAAAACATCCGTCTTTCCATTGTTAGGTGAGAGTGAACTCTCCTTCAAAGTCATACCTGTTAAACAACTTTTTAAAGTAAACGAGTCAAGCCTGGCTTGTTGAAATACTCGTTTAAACTAGAACAGGCTCTAGTTTACAAGTTTGATGGGTCAAACCTGCAGCAAACGGTAGGTTTGCGTGGCTTGGAAAAATTGCATCTTTATTATTCGTTCCCATTTATATAAATTTCAGGAATCTATGTCGTTTTTTGCGTGGCAATCACTTCATTCGCTTCTGTTGTCATCACTCTTCATTGTTTACCAAATCCCAAAAAGCACCATGATCAGAAACAAGATGAGAAATTGTCTGAGACTGAAAAAGAGACTTTAAAAACAAGCAGGTAAATAATTTGAAAAGAAAGAAAAATCGAAATTTCTTTAGTTTCACTTCTACAGTGATTCGTTTCATTACCAGCATCCTACATCGAAATTACTTTCTCTTAATTTTCTTTCAAATCTTGAATTTGATTGGTTTCATAGTGTTTTTATCGTTTTGGAATTAATTAATAAAGATTTCTTTGTATTAAATTCTTCAATTGATCTCTCTTTACATTTACATGCAATGAACAGGACAAGGACATTTTAATATTCCACAAATATGTTGACGTTTCATCCTTTTATCATTTCATCATTAAAGATGTCATCACAACTGGGTAATTTAATCAAAAAGCTGCCGAAAGCAGTTAAAATCTTCATTCTAACCAAACAGAAAAGCTGCTCTGAGAAATTTAAATGGATTAGTCATTGCATAAACATTGACCAAATATAATATAATTGAGTATCCTTGGAAAGGACTTTAAAATCGTATCGATGACTGTTTTGTTGGATATGCTTTCAAGTGCTATTCCAAAAACATCCGCCTTTCCATTGTTTTCAAGCACCAAACAGATTAAAAAAAGTTGACACTTTTGTTTATTCACTTTTAAATAAATCGTAATTTTAATTTAATATTCGCTATCGAAAAGTCAAATCTCTGTGCTCCAAATTAAAGAAAAGAAATTTTTCAATACACAACATTTCACCTGCCTTCTACAACGAGCAACTTAATGGGCAAATGATTCAAGCCATATTATTGATCTTCATTCTCAAACTTATGAATAACTCAAATATAATCGTTTATGAACGACCTGATATTTACATTGATTATGCTTATATATCTCTTTTTCTCGGGATTTTGATAAACTTCTTTACTCTTTGGGTGATACTGACTGTATCTCTGGAATTGGCGAGCACTTATCGCTGGCATCTCGCTATTTATCATGTGAGTAGAGTAGAGATATGAGAATTTTACCGGGCCAAGCCAGGCAAGCCTAGGGCCAGGCCAGAACCAGGCCAGAACCAGAAGTCAGGTCTTATCGTTAGTCTGATCCGCCGGACTGACCAACAAAGTCCAACCAGAGCTGAATCTAGCTTCATCAATCAAAACCAATAAAAGCCATCAACTTGTCTGCCATCAACCATCAACTTGTTTCCAGTTTTGGTCAATCTTATTCGAAATGGTTATCCACGGCGCAATGCCAGAATTCTTTTTTCCAACTCTCTCGGCCACATGCTACGGTCCATTTTATCGTGCAGGAATCCTCAGCATGAGAGGACTAATTGTAAGTGATGTTTGTTATAAGTAGAATTCGAACAACAAACCATAGGTGTCCGCGGCTTTCGTGATTCCGTCGATGATCCTTGGCGCCTATCAATGTTTTGCATATCGACACTGGCTCTTGTTGAGGAATGACAGCTTTTTGAAGTAAATTCAGTCTTTTGCTAAATCATAGAAAGCTCAGATTTAAACCTATCACTTTTGGAGTTATAATTGTGCTTCATTACATTATTTTGAACACATGGGTCGTCAGCGGAGTTTTGGCATTTCCGATAGTTTGTGGGCCGGAGACTGAAAATCTACAGAACATTCTTAAGGTAGGTGTTTCAATGTCTCGGAACTTTATTCCAAAGTGAGAAGCCAGAGTCAGGGTAAGACTGACCAGTTAGAGTTAGACTTGTGTAAACTTATTAGGGAATTTTTTCAAGTCAAGTACAAGATGTCAAGCCCTGGCCGATCTAATCGAGTTTTATCGGAGATTCTGAATTTGCTTTTAGTTTTTCTGGAACGCAAAAAGCAAAATATAAATTTTCTTTGCAATTTGAATTTTTAAAATTTAGAATTCAATTAAACAAAAAAGCAAAAAGAGTGAGCAGTGAAGGGATTCGAATTAGGCGCAAAAAGAGAGTACGGAGAAGTACTCTGATGTCAAAAAGACATCAAAGTACAGTTAGGAAATAATGAAAAAACTTGTAAAACAGCCGAAAAAGGCCAAATTTTGTATTCCAAATTTCTCTCGTTACAGAAGCGTTTCGGAAAAACTAAAACCAGATTCAGAATCTCCGATGAAAACTCTATCAGATACGTTATAGCTTATGTGAAAACTAGAACTTGACTTGCAAAAATTCTCTAATTGAAGCTGTTGCTGTTTTTGGAAGTCATAGCTCTGTCATAGTCGAATTTCCCTTGTCCATTTCAGCAATATCCATCATTTGCTTACCTCGGCACTCTTCAAGACATTTGCAGTGTTCATTATGCTCCTCTTTATCCACCATACATTATGGTATCATCGATTACAGTACTCGTGTCAGCTATATTGGGCATGGCTGTTTATCTGATTCCGACGGTAAGCCAGTTGAAAATAAAAGAATAAGGGAAAATCTCGAAACTAAGGAAACAAAGGAAACTTACCATTACAGGCTATTCTCACGATTTGGCACTGCTTTCACATTCTCAACGACAAGAGCTCCTACATGAGCAAAAAAACAATCAGTTTACATCGGAAATATCTCTACACATTGACGCAAGGGGTAAGTTTTGTTTAGAAAGCCATAAAGCCCTACTCTAGCGGCAGTGGGATACGTGTTGGTGTAGCTCATTCGTAGAGTGTTTCCCTGGTAAGTCAGCGGTCGCTGGTTCGAACCCCGCCACCGTGCATCTATTCCCAGCCCCAACCCGTCCAACTATAAGTCATTTTTTACTAGATTAGCAAGTAGAAATCTTGTCTTTCTACTGGATGAATATATACAACAACCTTAAGCTTTACTGTTTCAGATTTTGGTTCCAATCACAACGATCGCCATTCCTTTGATCATATTGGTAACTATTGTCGTCGGAGAAGTTTCCGTTTCTCAAGGTCTGACAAGTTCTCAAGTTTCAATTTTCATCAATACCCAGCTTTTCTCAACTTTACCGTTGCGATCGCCTACACGCACACAAAGCTCTCATCTTGCAATATCATTTTCACATCAAAACTCTACAAAAGCTATTTGCTTCGTTTGATTTTTAGAATTTTGAGACGGTTTTCATCAATTATTTTTAGAAATTACTTCAATTTACAGGAAAATTCCCGTCAATTTGATTGTGCCGAGTCAATTTACAAAGAGCAATTTCGAGCGGACGATCATGCCAGAGATGTCACGGGTCAAATAATCTAAAAATCTAAAAATCTCGCAAAACTATTACAAAAAAATCATGCTAAATGCATAAAAATACCGAAATTTTACTGAAAACTTTCTAATAATTAAACAAAAAATTCGAATTTCAGGTAAATTGAGCGTGATTGAGGGATACGTGTTGGTGTAGCTCATTCGTAGAGCGTTTTCCTAGTGAGCCAGAGGTCGCTGGTTCGAACCCCGCCTGAAGAATTATCTGATTTCTTCTCTTTGTGTACATTTTCTGAAGTTTTACTTGAACAATATTTATTCTTCGAAAAAACGAATCAAATTTCTTTTATAAAAGCCATAAATTTCCAACTGACTCGATTACAAATAAACATAATATAAAGGACAACAAATTTCCCAGCCGAATTTTTCAATCGATAAAGCTTTCGCTTGTTCTCTCCATGAAAATCAACAATCGTTTCCGGAGAAAGGTAGATTTTCTCAAAATATTCAAAATATTTCAAATCAAAGTCTTTCTTTAGTTGATCATAGATTTGGGAATTGTCATTAAAGCTCAATTCTTCAACATTTAAAAGCGAATTGATTGAATTGCAAACATTTTGACAAACTTCGTCAAAAGTTTCGTTTTCACAGAGTTTCCCTTGAATCAGAATCGCTTTTCGATCAGGATTTTGACTAGGGATTTCTTTTAAGACCGACTTTAAACATTTGAAATCATCCAAATCAAAGTTTTTATCGAAAAGTACCAAATCTGTATTGATTTTCTTCAGCACTTCGTAAAGAATCTCACTTTTCGGGGTGTAAAATTGCTTGACTTTAGCTGATCGAATGTTCGGTTTGAAAAGAATTTTCTCGAAATCTTCTATTTCAATCGAATATGCATTTGTTTCGTATTGAGTTGAGCTCATGTCTTTTCCACGAAAATCTAAAGTAAAATTATCAACAACATTCAAATAGAAATCATCGATGAATTTTTGAGCAAAAGACAGGTTAATCGCCATTTCGAATGAGGAAACTGCTCGGAGATTGGAGAATTTTCGAGCAAATATTTCTAGATCTTTTTCAATATTTCCATTCACTTCATCATCATATCGACAATGCCAGAATTTTAGAGTTTGACAAGAATTGAGTAAATTCAATATAAAGAAAGGATTCTTCATGTCAAAGCCTCCTTTTGAGTCTATCCAAATCCCATCCATTGCTCTGATTTCGATCTGTTTTCCATTTTTTGGCGCAATCACTATCTCAAAAGTCGATTTTTCAATTTTCGGATAATAGAAAATAGAAATTGAGCGAATTTTCCGCAATGGTCCATTTTTTAGAAGAAAACTTCTGCACTTTTTATCCGTTTTGAGAAAATTTAATGCATCAAAGAAATCGATTTGGCGTAACGATAAATCTTTGAGCTCTTCGGGTAAATTTTTCAAAGGGATTTTGATCATAGCGAATGGTGAATACAAATATTCGTAACAAAAACTTAGATTCAAATAGGAATTGAAGATTTAAGCAAGTAGGTTTTTCGTTGAATCAACGCTTTTTAAATCTTTGATGCCATTTTTAAATTCGCTAATCGTTTCCCCGTCATTTGGCCTTTTGTGTAGGGCTCTTTTTGGTGTGAAGTGGGAGGAGAAAGTTTGTGCTTGACAGCTTTACAAGCATCACATTGTCTAAAGAAATAAATCCACCTAGCTGCTTGAAAAAGGTTATTCTTAAAAGTAAAAATGATAAAACTTAAGAATTTGAACAGTAGAGATTTTGAGGATTTTTTGAAAAAGCAAAAGTTAAAATATTTCACAAACATCAATCCAACATGAGCTATTTAGTTAAAAGTTTGTTTTAGATTCATCATTTCGGACACTAGCTATTATCAATTTTGATGAATTTGATCGGGAATTTATAAAGAATTCCGACTAGAATGCAATTCTTGAATGGCTCTCAGTTATGAAAGGTTCGAACGCTAAAATCTCGTACTTGTTCGTTGATTATTTTGTTGCAAAGATATTAAAAGAAGAAAAGAACATTGAACGTTGATTAAAAGAACATTTCAACTTGTTAACAACTTACGTTTTCACTACAAGACCTTCCTCACTTCCGCTGTGCTAGTGTTCGCGATCATTAGTCATAATCATGACATTCACAACAGCAATAATTGTAAGCATAAAACAATATTTTGTTGTGTAAACACAATTAACTTTTATAAAGCGTAGACTTAGGCTTATCGCCTGTCATATCCGATTTAGACTCAATCTCCATCTAACCCTTTAAAACAGAAATTTTTCTTTTACTTTGTAGATGGTATAAAAAGAAGATATTGAGCTGAAAATTTGAAATCGGAGGTTTTCGGGATTGGGGGAACGATTGGTGCTGTTCATTTTATTGAGTCTATCAACTGGAACTTGGGTTTAATTGGTTGAAACTTACACAACTTACATGCTGTTTCATTCATTCACCTGACGATTCATCCACTCATGCTGATTAGCATGAATGGATGAACTGTGAACTGAACATTATTTGCTACTCCAATCAATTGATTCAGCGGTCAAAATGGAGCAGCAATATCGTAAAATGTGCAATGTTTTCTGACCGAGCACCACGAAAATCAGCTGGTCAAAAGATGGGACGTTCTCTTTTATCTCGAATGATATCGCTTTGATTCGTGGATTTCTTAAAGTAACTAATAGTTTTCTTCGGTTAAAAGAGCCTCTGTATTTCGGGAAAGCTCAATCGAATCAGAATCCCGAAAACGATTCATTGATCAGATTGGGTGCGTACCAAGGAAAAGCCCAGTCACCGCTTCTTTCACCGTCAGTCACCGCTTCACAGCGATTCCAAAAGGAAAGCCCGTATACCAAACGTGTTTGCCAGATGGCGAGCGATCACGCGGTCAGACAAAGACTTTTACACAGGGATTTTTCTTTTGCTTTGTAGATGGTCCCAAAATAAGATATTCTCAGCTGTAAATTTGTATTGGTGGTTTTCGGGGTCAGGGAATCGAAAGAAGTTATTTATTTTATTGAGTCTACGATTTCTATAATTTGGTTTTCCTTTTTGAAACCTAAACCAATAGATTGTGAAACTGATGTAAGAAATAGAAATGATTCTCGATCTTTAGAAATAAAAATCTGATAAGAATGGCAAGAAAATACAATGAAGGCTTTAGCTTTTGAAAGGCCAAAATAGAAACAAAATTGTTAAGCGCCTTAAAATTTGTGTGTCGAATGTGAGGAAACCGTTTTCGTACTTGGAAAAATTCAAAAGTGATCTGAGGAATTCTGACGTAACTGAGCAAAGAAAAGTATATTTAAGGAAAGAGTTTGGGCTGTTGGAAAGCAGATAAACTGTGTACTTTCTTTAATAATTGTTTAACAACAGTTTTTTTTACAAAAACCTTTAGAATGTTCAAGCTAGTTGTGCTTTCTTTGACCATCATCTTCGGCGTCAGCGCTTTCGGTGAAGTTGGGGTAAGTTTTAATGTTCATTAGATATAGATAAATGTGTTACGGTAGAACTTTAGCTTACTAATTACAAAACTTTAGTCAATTGGCTTGATCTTGAATGCTTTTTAATTGAGTATCGCATTTTTTCTAATAAAAAGACCCTCGTATAAGCAGCAAAAGTGTCTCAGGCTTTGAAACTGAAACTTGACTTAATAGTAAGACCTGTTATCTCGGGAAAAACTGTTCTAAAGATGATTCAGATTAAACGAAAGATGATGTCTATCAAAAATGCAACTATTGACTAACAAACTTTCAGCAACAATGTATCTCAGCAAAACCGGAAACTGGGAACGGTTGTGGAAAAGGGAACCAGTGTGCGTATACGAAGTGTTTCTTTGTACGTGGTGTTCTGATTTGCTCTGGTTACTGTACACCAATCACTCCTTCATCACCACCACCGGTATCTCTCTACTCTTGTAGCCATTCTTAACTTTCTCTAGCTTCAGTTCGTTTTAAACAAAATTCGAAGTATATTGTAGAGCCACTGGACTAGTATTATTGGCCTACTTTTATGCAATCTTGTTCATGATCTAGAAAGTAACTGTAAAGTAAGAATAAACACGAAATAAGTTGAACATTTTAGCGCTCGTGCAACACAAATGCGGATTGTCTTGCAGGCGAGTATTGCCCACAAAAGTGTCGACTAAATTGGGCAACAGAAGTGTGTTCTGGGACTTATTGTGCTCCAATCCCGCCAACCACCGCCGCCACACCGACAACTACCGAAATTAATGTTGGTTTTGACAACTACATCACCACAATTTCGGGATTTTTAGTATTACTTTTTCCAGAGTACTGCATTCTGGGATTTAACAGTAACTTTCAGCGCATCTGTTACACGAATGGTGAGTGCAGACAAAATGAGTATTGTGATTCGACAAATTGTCGTCCAAATTGGTCCGAAGGATGCCGGGGTGTTTGCCGTGTAAAAACATTGACTAAATACTAAATACGTTTGAATAAATTGTTACTGAATTTTATTTTAAGGTCCAGGAACCTGCAGTAAAGCAAGACTAGATCTGCGGCAAGGTTTGGGTTCTAGCCTTGCCTGGTCGGGTCCACTTTTCTTTGCAACGAAAAGTCAAAACTGTACAATTTGTTTGCTCTAATTGCTTTGTCTAAAGTGAAGTGGGTAAAATTTTCTTTTTTTTTGCCTGTGTCTTGTTGAAATCGTAAAAACAGAATTTTTTTTTGTTTGTTTAATCACTATTTGTACACCTTTTGTAGTAGTAGACAAGAAAAAGGAGCTATTTAAATAAAAACAAATATTCAGAAACAGATACAGCCGAGCACGACATCAACTTTGTTGAGATATAAAAAGGCAGAAATTTTGAAGCCAATCATAAGCCTTAAAAAGCCTTAAAAATTGCTATTTCCTCATGTTTTCTTCGCTCGTTTTAGCCATAACTTTTGCGGTAAGAGATTTTCCCCTAACTTTTCATGAACCTTAAACTTTAGTGCGGGTTTTCAAGTGCTCAATCATCTCTTGATTTGTCACCAACAACGCAAAACAATGATCCAATTGATATCAGTGAGGAAACATCAATTCCTCCCGTATCCAGCTCAAAAACAGCGGCAGGTTGCCAATCACAGGTAAAAGGAAACGGGGAATTTATTAACGTAAACTCTCTAATATTAGGTTAAAACATAATTCTTGATCACCTTTTTTAGAATTCTTTTTAGAAATGAATAATGCGTCTTTTAATCAACGGTTTTTAGAGCAAATCAATAGAGCATTGAAAACTTGAGAAAATTGACGGAAAGATGAGTCGTTTTTACGGGGTTTTTTAAAGGATTTTATGAAAAATTTAGTTTTTAGACCCGGACTTGGTTAAAAGCTAATCAAAATTGGCTTAAAAGCTAGAAAAATAAGCAAGAAACATTTTCTATTTGAAATAAATCATAGTTTATTTGATAGCTTTTTTATTTTTCTAAACAGAAATAGAAAAAAGTGATCAAGACTTATGTTCGGATCTAATAGACGATCAAGACTTATGTTCAGACCTAATCGGTGATCAAGACTTCTGTTCGAATCTAATAGACGATCAAGACTCATGTTCGAACTCCCACTCTTACTATTAGAGGAATTTTTCATTTGTTTCGGATTTTTTCAACCCTAAAGTTGAATAATGACAAAGTCTTGAATCTTTTAAAGATTTCAAAGTGTTTTAACTGTTAGATACAGGCTAGAAGGCTGTCTTTGAAGCTAGATAAATCAAACCTATCAAACTTACTCGTTTTTGAGGCCTTGCAAACTTTGGTGTATTGTAATTAGGGCACGAAAAAGATTTTAAATAAATACGGTGGTTTCAGGCTGAAAGCGAGAAGCCAATTGTAGTGGCTGGTGAAGAAGGGAACGCTTCCCCGACGCTTCTCCCATTTCCAACTCTACCTCCTTTCCCCACATTCCCCTCTTTTACTTTCCCTCCCTTCCCCAGCCTTCCCCCATTCCCATCTTTCTCACTCCCATCACTTCCACCTTTCCCATCATTCCCAGCTTTTCCAACATTGCCCACGATGTCAACAGTATCTCCACAAAATCTTCTGCAATGTCTTTTTGAGGTAATCTAATCAATATCTCATCTTGTATTCCTTTTTTTAGTCGGGCACATTTAATCCGAATTGTCTGAACAATGAGGCTGGTAGTCCGAAGGTAAAAAACTGCAAAAAACTTTTCTACAGAAAATCCTAGGAAACATTCTCATGCTACAACCAGACACAGTGCTCAACAGGACAGGTGTGTTGTACTGCATTCGAATTGCTATCAATTTTCACTCCACCTTCCCAGCAACAAGTAAGAAATATTAAGAAATTTTTGAACCAAAGCTTTCCAGCAAAACGGCACTTGTCAACCTTTTTTCTGCCCTTTTGGACAAATTCCTCTGTGAAATTATTTACGATTGTATTTATTGACTAATAAAGAATAATAAATTCATAGAAATTTTGGGCTTCCTTTTTGCTTTAAAGAACCAAATGCACACTCAAAACTCATTGTTTGCTACTAATAATAGAAATTTCTTCGTAACTCCAAGAAACTTAAACATTCTTGCCTAGTAATGGGTTGAATACTGGTTTGGTTAGTAAAGACTTTTCAAATCTCAATCTTCTCAGTCAAGTACAAGTCAAGTCAAATCAGGTTAAAAGTCAAGTTTTGACTGATTTAGCTACACATATTTTAATGTTTACTGACACCATTGTACCCTAAAATAGAAACTTCATTAATTCATGAGTTGTAAATGATTGATACATTCAAGAAAGGTGATACAAAGTCATAAATGAAGGCTTTTATCTATTTACTTTATTTACTTGTGGCTTTTTCGGCAGCAAACGCAAATTTCCTGTCTAATTTTCCATGCCAAATTTCAAATTTCCTGTCTAAAAATTTTCCATGCCTTTCTTCATCCGTTTTTGTGTCGTCTAAAAGACAGAAGTATAAAAATACGTGAGATCAAACTTGATTTTATTTTGATTTCGATTTCACTAACGTTTTGCGTGGTTTCTGTTTGTGGTGAAAGTAAATCAGCGACAGATCAAACAGTTCATTCAGACACTTTGACAAAACGAATCCGATTATTGTGTCGGATGCCTTTTTGTCGCTGGGTGATGAGGTTGGTGAGGAATAAGGTTATTCCAAAAAGCTAAAAGCCGTGCTAGCCAAGCGAAGCCAAAGTCAATATCTTTTAACCGGTCTTGGCCCGGAATTTCAACCTATTTTTGGATTTGGTCTAAAATCTTGGCCTTGACGTGGCTATGCCCAGCTGACTCTGCACACGGAGCGGAAAATGGAAATCACTTTTGACGCTGTGACGGCTTGATTAGATTTCTCGAAATAAACCAGACATTGAAAGATTCTTTACTTTTCAAAAAAAAACAAAAGATAAATGCTCAGGGATTTCTCTTTTCTTGAATGTTTATTTTCTTTTCATGAACCAGGCACTTTAAAGTAGAAAACGATGGGTGGACGAGTGGAGGAGATACCCCAAAAACCCTCGAATTGAGCCGCGTTGATGAAAGTCGTTTTCTCGTTGCTCGCCACCCCGTAACCACCATGAACATGACCGAAGCAATGAAATCTAAATACTCTGGTTTAAAATCGGATGCAGGATATAGATTTTTCAAAATTCTATGGGATGCGGAATTTGTAGAAAAATATTAACAAACTCAAAGCAAAGAATTTGGGGTTAATGATCGCCCAAGACGCGGAAAGGTTTAGCAGCCCACCTCCGCTTCCACTTTGAGGATTCCAAAAGGCGCTTAGACCAAAGGGAGAACGCTAGGGATTATGCGGCTGCACAAAGAACACCTTTTACACAGGGATTTTTCATTTGTAGATGGTACCAAAAGAAAATATTCAGGTTTTCGGGGTCGGGAATCGATTAAAGCTACTTATTTTTTTCTAGTCTACCAATTGGAACTTGGGCTTATTTGATCTAAACTTTTAGACTCTTACAAAGAATCTTACATAGAGAATCTTCTTTTGCTTTTGAAAAAGAGACACTTTTGCTAATTGAAGTTTAGCTTTTCGTATTTACTTGGGATTTCTTGCTTCAACCGCTTTCAACAGTTCAATATCTCCATATCGTCCATCTAGAAAACCTGAAAATTCACTTTAAAATTCACTTATAAAATCTAGGAAAAGTGAAACCTTTTGGTGGTTGATGTGTGATGAGAATGTCGACATTGTCGGGGATTTTCGCCCATTTCTCTCGAGTCTCCTCTCCGGGTTCACAGTAGAAAGGCGGAGTTGAGAAAAGACGATAGTTCATTGTATGCCACGAGCTTCCGTAGAGTTTAATTCCCTCAATCTACATTCATAAATGTTTACATGAATTTTTCCTTTTCAAACCTCAATAGAAGTATCATTTAACAGTTCGCATGCCGTCAAAAGTTTTGTCTTTTCGCTGAAAAGGGATTGAGTTGAATTGAATTGATTGAACTTACTAAAATTGTGCATCGAAACCGTTCTCGTGATTGCCCGCGATGACCACTTTCCGTCGATGGGGCAATTGTGCGAGTTGATCGTTGAACTCTCGTACCCTTTCCTCATCACCGTGATTCGTGAAATCTCCACAGTGAATGAGGACGTCACCATCGGGGATTCGATTCTGTAATGAAATAAACAGACTAGACATTTTAAACAGCACTCACATACAACTCTTATACAGGGTGCGTCATAATTGTCGCAAAAAGGTATCACGCGCGTTATTCCGATAGCTACCTGGCTCTTCTCTAGGCTGAACTCTTGCCCCGGGGCTCGTAAAGATTTCGGAATTCGCATTTGGACTTATCAGCAAGATGGCGCACCGGCCCACAAATCCAAGAAAGTCCAAGGGTTCTGCCAAAATAACTTCCTGGACTTCATTTCTTTTTTGATTGACCATCTAGTTCTCCAGACCTCAACTCAATGAATTTTACAGTGTGATCGGTTCTAGAAGCCAACGCTTGTTCAAAGCCTCACAAAAACATCGAAATCTTAAAGAAATGACTGTTGAAAGCGTGGGAAGAGCTCGATCAAGCCTATTTGGTCGCCACCGTTGACGCCTTTCCGAAACGCCTGCGAGCCTGCTCAAATGCTAATGGTGGCCGATTCGAATTTGATAATTGATTTATAATTGTTAATGTACAATAAATGTTATTCAGTTAAAAATTTGTCTTTTTTACTCTTGTCTGCCTTAAAATCAGAACTTTATCTTGTTGCGACAATTATGGCGCACTCAATATTTAGAAAAAATCATCGGTCCATTGTGCATTCAGGATGTGTCATCAACAGGTTTGGTATAAAAGCTAAATGCTAAACCAAAGCTGAGTCATAACCCAGGTCAAAGGCAAGCCAAGTCAAAGCCAATGGCTTTCAATCGATCTTGACCTGGAATTTCAATCCTATCGTTAGAGTTGGCGTAAAACCTTAGAAAATCTTGCCTTTATTCTACAGTTAGCTCGGCCTAGAATTTACGAGAATTGCGCAAAGATGGCTGGGCTTAGCCCTGGCCTAAATTTGGCGCTTTTTCCAACCCTGATCATCAGACTAATCATTTCTTCACCTCCACTCACCATAATTTTTGCCATTTCCTCATGCGTATCGGAGATCACCACAAATTTCAGCCAAATTCCCGTTTCATCTGGTGAATTAACCGCACTGAAAGTGGGAAAGTTTGAAAAGATGTTAAAAAACCTAGTGAAATGTAAAAAAACGAACTTTTCCAGCAGCACATCTCCGCTTTTTGTCTCTTCTCGTCCGAAAAGCGAAATGTTTGTAAAAGCGTTGATGATTCTTCTCATTTAGCAATTTGTTTGAAGAAATTTTGAAGAAAGATTAGTGGTTTGAAATAAAAATTCAAATAAAATATTAATTTAGTTGAAAAATATTCTTTTTCTCTGAGAATAGCAGAGTTTGAGGGGTGATAAGTGAAAAAAGAAGAGAGAACACTGGAAAATAGGGAAACTATGAGTCAGCAAAGCTGAGGAAAAGAGAAAAGGAGATTTCGAAATAAATTTTCTTTTGTTGAGCTTACGAAAGTGACTTGAAATCATCTTTTTTAGTCTGTAAACAGATTGAAAGCTTGTTAATCTTTTCGAATTTTCTCCTTATTTTACTGCTTGTTAACTTTGAGTAAAAATCAATCTCAATGAGTTTTTGCTTTAAGTATTTGAGAAGAAAATCCTGAAAATTGTTGAAAAGTGATTCTCCATTTTCTATTGAGTTGGAACATCTGAAATGTCGGATACTTTCCCGTGACCGATATCTTTCATCTCCCCATAGATCTTTTTAATTTTTTGATATTATATTATCGCAGGGATCACCCTTGCTCGTAAAAATGCTTTACGCGTTTTTGTTGAGATCGATGGGCTTAAGTTTTAGAAAACGACGGAGATTACATTGTTGACTAATGAAATTAACGTAAATAAAAGGATTCTTTTCACTTTTATGTACTTTAACCTGAAAAACACTTTCGTGGGAACACTTTCTCTGTGGAAATCCACAGTCGTAAACCTTCTGGCACACAGGCAGTTCATTTACCCAATTTTAAGGTTAAAAGTTATTCCACCACAGATTAATTTAAGATTTTGGGTATAGTAAGTATTAAGTATTCTCAGTTAAATGCTAAAGTTAAAGCCAATTTCATGGTAGTAAGCGAATTAGCGAATAACATAAAGATTTAGTTGTTTGAGCTGCTTGTTCTCAGCAGACACACCACAGAACAGAGCAGACACACCGCAGACACACCACACTCTCAAAGTTTAAACATGATATGTTTCATTTCTCTAATATAACATTTCAAAAAAATTAAAAAGATCTATGGTGAGATGAAAGATATCATGGAAAAGTATCCGAAATTTCATATGTTCCAACCTAATAACATTGTGAGATCTGTGGATCTGCAAGTTTTGATAAGAAGATTTTATTCTATCAACCCATATAGAAAAAAAACAATTAACTTGACTATAAATACGAATTATTTAATTCAATTGTTAATTATAAGAGTACTGTAAATACTTTGAGAGAATAGAAGGAAAACGAGAGACATTTGAATCGAAGAGAATAAAGAAAAAGCAGTTTTTAGCAAGAAATCCAATCCGAATCTCAAAAAAAACTAGGATTTTGAAGCTGAATACTATCTGAGTTTAAATTGTTGTAATAATAACGGAATATGTATGGATCTGGATACGCTAACCATTGAAATACTGAAATTACGATTGAAATAAAGAGCGTAAGAAAGGCCGAACGATTCGCAACCGATCATCCCGGCCAATTCTGCTTTTTGCATCTCTATCGTCGAGCCGCTTTCCGCGGCTTCGAACGACAGCCTCATACAACTCGGACGCAAAGAAATGGCAATTGCTTTGTGTAACATCATAGGTGTTGCCGAGCTCGTCATTATTGAAA